CCCAACCCTAAACTCTAAACCCTAAACCCTAAACCCTAAACCCTAAACCTTAAACCCTAAACCTCAAACACCACGCTCGCAATCCAGGGATTTTTAGGCCTTAGGGTTGAGGGCGCTTAGGGCTTAGAGTTAAACGTTCTAGAGAAGGCCCCGGCTTGGGCTTGTTCAAGGTGGACGAGGGAGGAGGCAAGGGGGTGGGGGGGAACGCTCACATTTAGAACACTTTTTCTTGGGATGTTCCCCCGTATACTACCAGTTCGTAAAAGGGATTATAACAGGGGTACTATAGTCCCTATTAAGGACTGTTAGTAGAAGGGGGAACGTCCCAACACTCAGCCCTAAACACACCCAAAGCACCAAGACCTGAATCCAAAACCCAAAACCAACCAAAACCATAAAGACCCAAACCTCCCATAAAGACCCAAACCCCGAGTTGCGAAACCCAAAACCCCTCAACAAAAAAACAACTTAGAGGGTCCTTAAGGAGGGGGTTCATGGTAGGTACCTAGCAAACCTTAGGGAAGCTTAGGGAGGCTTAGGGAGTAAAGGGGAGTATTAGGGAAGATTGGGTTACATGCCCCCCTTCAACCCCACTCCGTTAAGAACACCAAAGCCCAAACCCCTGAACTCCAACTCCAATGCCCCTAAACTACCCAACCCCGCCCAACCCCCGCCCCTAGAAAAAAAATCCTAAACCCTCAGCCTGAGCCCTAAACCCTCCTTGTACCCTTGTACCCTAAAGCCTTGAATCCTTGTACCCGAACCCTAAACCCAACCCCCCGCCTCCCCCCCGGAAAATGGAAAATAAAATTCAAAACTAAGCACGCAACCCTCAACCCTCAGTGTCCGCAGTTCCTTCCCGCTTCCCCGCTGCGCGTTGCTCCTAGGGTTCTTAAGGGAGGGGGTTCAAGGGGGGCATGTAACTCAAGGTTCCCTAATACTCCCCACTACTCCCCGAAGGCTCCCAAAGCTTCCCTGAGGTTCCCGACCCCGAAAGGTACCTACCCCCCATGAACCCTAAACCCTAAACCCTAAACCCTAAACCCTAAACCCTAGACCCTAAACCCCTCCCTTGAGGACTCCGTAACTTACATGCCTCCTCCGCCGTCCGCTGTTGCGAGGCCAGGGCTTCCGACTTCTGGCCCTGGATCTCCTCAGGGTCTAGGGTTTAGGGTTTAGGGTTTAGGGTTTAGGGTTTAGGGTTTAGGGTGGTCTCCTCAAAATGGTTGAGGGTTTGAGGGTTTTCAGGTGTGGTTTAGGGTTTAGGGGTTTCGGGGGCGGGGGGTTAGTTCAGGGTTTAGGGTTTAGGGTGATCTCTCCTCTGCGTGGTTTAGGGTTTAGGGGTTTGGCGGGGGGGGGGGGGGGGGTGTTAGAAGGGATTGGGGGTTTAGGGCGATCACCTCTGCATGGTTTTGGGGTTTAGGGCTTTAGGCTTTAGGATGTTAAGGCGTGGGGGTTTGGGCCTGTTTAGGGTTTAGGGGTTTCCGGGGGTGGGGGGGTATGGTGAAGGGTTGGGGGTGATTTCCTCTGCGTGGTTTAGGGGCTTGGGGGGATTTAGGGGTTTAAGGTTTAGTGCCTGCCACACCCTAAACCCTAAACCCTAAACCCTACCCTGAACCCTAAACCCTAAACCCTAAACCCTAAACCCTAAATAAACCCTAACCCCAAAAGGCCCGGGTCTCCTGGAGCTTCTTCGACAGCTCGGCCGCCGTCGACTCCGAGTTGCCAAGCAGCTCTTCCTGGCTTAGTAGTTTGGTGCCTTGAGTTCGGCGTTAACAGGTTTAGGCTTTGTTGGGTTTGTTGGGTTTGTTGGGTCTGTTGGGTTTGTTGGGTTTGTTGGGTTTGTTGGGCTTTGGGTTCGGGTTTAACAGGTTTAGGGTTTGTTGGGCTTAGGGCTTAGGGTTTCGGGATCAGGGTTTGAGGGCTTCCTGGCTTAGAACTTTGGTACCCTGGTTCGGCTTCAATGGGTTTAGGCTTTGTTGGGTTTGGGGTTTGGGGTTTGGGGTTTGGGGTTTGGGGTTTGGGGTTTGGGGTTTGGGGTTTGGGGTTTGGGGTTTGGGGTTTGGGGTTTGGGGTTTGGGGCTTAGGGTTGAGGGTTTAGAGCTTAGGGTTTAGGGTTTAGGGTTTGCGGGGCTTAAGGAACTTTACTCTTTTGGCATCACGATGACCTCACCTCGGAGCAACAGCGCCATGTGCAAAACCAGATAAGCAACACACCTCGAGACACTAGCCCTAAGATCCAAACTCCTCTACTACAACTAAACCCTAAATCCTAAACCCGACACCCTACGAACCTGAAGCCGACAACCACAAAACCTTCTCAGCCAGGCTTCCAACCCTGTGAACGCTCAGAGTCCCAGACAACCCCGGAAGCCGGAACCTTACCAACTCCCCTGTCCAAGGCAGTCTGAGCAGCGCTTAGGGTTTAGGGTTTAGGGTTTGTATAGGGTTTAGGGTTTAGGGTTTAGGGTTTAGGGTTGAGGGTTTGGGGCTTAGGGTTTAGGGGTTAGGGCTTAGTTTTTAGGGTTTAGGGTTTGGGGCTTAGGGTTTAGGGTTTCGGGTTTAGAGTTCAGGGTTGATGGTCGAGGGTTGAGTGTCTAGGGGAAACCTCAAACCCCAAAACCCTAGACCCATCTTATGTCTACCTGAGGGTCGGCGTTTGTTTTGCAAGGAGGGTGTGGAGTCGATGCTACTCTAAACCCTAAACCCTAAAGCCCTAAACACCCCAAATCCCAAACTCTACTTGGAAGCCCATTTGACTTAGTAAGTAAGCTTAGAACGGTGGGTTCTGGGGATTATGATGCGGTTTCTAGGGAATACTACGTTGACGTACTTAGTGTGAAGTCCAAGTAAGCCCCAAACCCTAAACCCCAAACCCGAAATCCTACACCCTACACCCTAAGCCCGAAACCCTAAACCCGAAACCCCAAACCCTAAACCCCAAACCCTAAACCCTAAACCCTACGAACTCACCCGACCACGGCGAGGCCTTCGCCGCCGCCAGCTCGTCCACCTGCGCGGGGCTGGGGAGCGGCGCATTCTACACTTGGAGGTTCATGCTCATTAGCCCATTATAACTGGGTAGTTTAGGGTTTAGGATTCAGGGTTTAGGGTTTAGGGTTTAGGGGTACTTATTAACCAATTATGACTTATAAACCACTTAAAAGCCCCTTAAGTTCCCTAATATGGTTATGAGCACAGTTATAAGTACAGTAACAATTGGCTAATAAGTATCATGAACCTCCAAGTATATGTGTATGTATACAGGTATGTACACACATGTATACATGTAGTATACATGTAGACATGTACATCTATGTGATCTCGTCCCTCCCCCAACGTGAAAGCGGTTCAGGGTTTAGGGTGTAGGGTTTAGGGCTAGGGTGCTTCCATCGCGCCTGCGCCAACAAGCGGGCAGCGTCGCTGGCTTTGGCTTCCTTCAAGGACGCCTCCTCCGCACACTCTGCGCGCCACTGCTCCAGTGATCTTGGGCGGCACGGTGGTTTGGGGTTTAGGGTTTAGGGTTTAGGGTTAGGGTTTAGGGTTTAGGGTTGAGGGTAGAAGCCTTGAGTTTGGGGTCTTGGGTGTGGGGTCCAGAGATTTATCCCTCTCCCAAAAGGCGAGGAGTCGTCCAGCCCCATCCTGAACCCTAAACCCTAAACCCTAAACCCTAAACCCTCAACCCTAAACCCTAAACCCGAAACTAAAACATACTTAGATACTGGGCAGTGGGCAGCCACTCTGAAGCCTTAGCCTGAAGGGTTCTCAACCCTGAGGGTTAGGGTTTACTTGGCTGACTTCTGAACCCCTCCTAAAAGTTTAACTTTTAGGCTCCTGATTGTAGTTTCTTCAACATCCCAAAAGGTTAAAGTCCTAAGAGCCAGCCAGAAGAAAGCCTACTATTTGGGGTCTATACTCGGGGTCCCTTACTATCGTAACCCCCCCAAGTATTGCAATACTGCAGCTCTGATGGTGTAGGTCCAGCGGCTGGAGTAGCTCGGCTTTCTCCCTGGCAGCCTCTTCAGATGCGCCACGTGCTTCCTCAGCTGTTCTTATAGAAGGTGCTTCCCTAAGGGTCCATGCGCCTATATAGTATATACTTGGGCCCAAAAGCCACTAGTGATATGGGAACCCCTTTCAGGGCCAAGTATATACTTCATTTTATAGGTACATGAACCTGAACGAAAAACTCAAAAAAAGCATGGGTACCGAAATTTCAAAAAACACACTCATTTCTAATGCTGGTCTAGCTTCCTCTACGGCCTTGGCGTGCTCCAACTTCCAATCGTCCAGCTGCAGCGATAGGTTGCCTGCTTTCTCAGTGGCCTCTTTCAGCAAGGCTTCGCGCGCAGCATCCCCATCAGATAGGTCGTTCTGCAAATGCTGGATGGTCGTATTCAGCTCTTCGGCAACTGCTGCTGCTTTGGAGGCGTCAGAGGACCGTGCTTCCTGCTCTGCAGCGAACTCAGCACGCAGCTGTTCCAGCTGGGACGTGAAACTGTCCACGTCCTCTTTGCCCTTAGCCTCCAAGGAGTCACCTCTCTCCACTGCGGCGGCATGCTCAGACTGCCAGCTGGCAACCTTCTCGGCCAACTCCTCGACCTTCGCCATGGCATCCTTGTGCTCACTGGCGTGATTCTCTGCTGCACTGGAAGCCGTGTCTTGCAGCTGCTTGATGGTAGCTTTGAGCTCCTCTGCGGCAGCCGATGCGTTGGAAGCATCAGAGGATCGTGCTTCCTGCTCTGCGGCGAACTCAGCACGCAGCTGCTCCAGCTGGGACGTGAAACTGTCCACGTCCTCTTTGCCCTTAGCCTCCAAGGAGTCACCTCTCTCCACTGCGGCGGCATGCTCAGACTGCCAGCTGGCAACCTTCTCGGCCAACTCCTCGACCTTCGCCATGGCATCCTTGTGCTCACTGGCGTGATTCTCTGCTGCACTGGAAGCCGTGTCTTGCAGCTGCTTGATGGTAGCTTTGAGCTCCTCTGCGGCAGCCGATGCGTTGGAAGCATCAGAGGATCGTGCTTCCTGCTCTGCGGCGAACTCAGCACGCAGCTGCTCCAGCTGGGACGTGAAACTGTCCACGTCCTCTTTGCCCTTGGCCTCCAAGGAGTCACCTCTCTCCACTGCGGCGGCATGCTCAGACTGCCAGCTGGCAACCTTCTCGGCCAACTCCTCGACCTTCGCCATGGCATCCTTGTGCTCACTGGCGTGATTCTCTGCTGCACTGGAAGCCGTGTCTTGCAGCTGCTTGATGGTAGCTTTGAGCTCCTCTGCGGCGGCAGATGCGTTGGAAGCATCAGTGGATCGTGCTTCCTGCTCTGCGGCGAACTCAGCACGCAGCTGCTCCAGCTGGGACGTGAAACTGTCCACGTCCTCTTTGCCCTTGGCCTCCAAAGAGTCACCTCTCTCCACTGCGGCGGCATGTTCAGACTGCCAGCTGGCAACCTTCTCGGCCAACTCCTCGACCTTCGCCATGGCATCCTTGTGCTCACTGGCGTGATTCTCTGCTGCACTGGAAGCCGTGTCTTGCAGCTGCTTGATTGCATCGTTGGCTTTTTGCAGCTCCTGGCCACGGCAATCTCTTCAGACAACCCAGCAAAGATTCTACAGGTGTTTACGAGGGAACCTAAGCCTCTCAAAAGAAACATGGCCCACCAAGTGTCGAATGTCCAAGCCTTGCAACCACAAGAATGCTGACTGTAAGGTGTGAGTGAAGAGCTCTACGACTCTACGAAACCCGCTCAGCTTGCCTTCATCCCTCCCACCCTCCCACCTCTTCCCCCCCCCCCCCCCCGCCCCCCAAGCTGCTAATTCATCCCCCCCCCGTACCCCCCACCCTGTCCCCAGCAGAGCAACAAACAACATCAATGCGACTGGCCCTCTGCCCACCTCCCCAAGCCCTACGCACTCTCCTCGTCGGCAGCCTGCCTGTGGCTCTCAAGAGCTCGGTCGCTGTCGGATTGCTGGTCCTCTCAGCAAGTAAGGGGCCCAACCTGCAGTACATACCCTTCAACCCTACCCTTCAACACTAGAACCCTGAACCCTGAACCCTCAGGCCTCTCGATCTACTCTCTCTCTCTCTCTCTGTCTCTCGCGCTCTCTCTCTCTCTATATATATATATATGTATGCATCTAACTTAGGGCTTGGCAACCCTAAGCTCAGGGCTTCGGGTGCTTAGGGTTAGGGCGCGTGTGTGTGTGTGATATAAATATGTTGCGGGCGTCAGGATGTAGACTCAGCCCGGAAAAAGGGTTTCGGGTTTGGGGATACGAACAGTCCTTCATAGGGATGAGAGTACCCGCTATTAAGATCCCTACTAAGGACTGCTAGTATAGAGGGCACATCCCAAGTTTAGGGTTTAGAGCTTAGGGTTCAGGGTTTTGTGGTGAACCCTAAACCCTAAACCCTAAACCCTGAACCCTAAACCCTGAACCCTAAACCCTAAACCCTAACAGCTTCAGCAACCTCAAGCCGGTATCTCCAAGGCCCCAAAGACCAGTCGGAGATCTCCCGGGCTTTTGTCGGGTCGGCATGTGCTACGAGCAGGGGCCCTGTCTTCAGTTGAGGGTTTAGGGCTTAGGCTGCGGGTGATGTAGCATATATATAAATATATATATATATATATACAGACATAAACACATATATATATATACATATATATATATATATACATATATGTATGTATGTATGTATGTATCTGTGCATAAATGAAGCCAACCCCCCCCCAAAAAAAAAAAAAAAACAAACTGAGCAGCGGCACCTCCAGCTTCTTCCTCAGCTCAGCAGCCACGGCCTCGGACCTTTCGAAGAGCTCGTCCTGCCAGGGTTTTCGAGATCCAAAGGGGAGCTTCCAAAAGTTTAGGGTTTAGGGGTTTAGGGGTTTAGGGGTTTATATAGGTGTTCAGGGGTTTAGGGGTTTAGGGGTTTAGGGTTTAGGGTTTAGGGTTTAGGGTTTTAGAAAATAGAAGAACGTCCCCTTACAACCCCCTGTTCTCGAATACTCAGAGTTCCGCTGACATCAGGTAGACGTGGCGTCTGGTGTGTACGCCGCGTCTGTACATGATAGCGTCTGTATATACATGGTAGCCTCTGTATAGCCTCGCGTCTGTAAGCGTCGCGGCTGTATACTTGGGCCGCGCCCTACCTAGCGTTATCAACAACAGCGCGTCTATATACAAATCGACTTAGCTAATAAATGCTGGGCATGTTAGACGCTTCTCCTTGCTCGGAACTCTTCTCCTCGCCCGGTCTACTCCTCGTTCATCCCTGGAGTGCCCAGAATGTAGTGCCCAACCCCAAAGTCTCCCTGGAGCGCCCAACCCAGACTGGGAGTCTCCGCAAATTCCAGAGCCTGCACTCCAATAAGCCAATAAGTCTCCCTGCCGTGCCCGTGCCCAGGGTCAAGAAGAGGGGTCCCAGACCCAGAGTGTTCCTGGAGTGCCCAGGGGCTCATGGAGTAGACCCCATGGCCAGCTAGGAGTCCCGAAAACGAGGATCATGAGCAAGAACCGTTGAGGGTATCGGCTGGGGAGGTGAGGGACCACACCGCAGGTCAAGCAGCAGCACGCTTCGCCAGAAGACGTCACGCAAGTGCCATGAGCCTGTGGGCCACGTCACCGCCGTCGGCCTGCTCAAAGACCAGCATGGTGCTGGCCCCAGATACGGCAGCTCCTGAGAAAACTCAGCAAACATGTGTGTCCGCTCTATGTAGTGGCGTGCCGCAGCAGGCCTACAGGGGGGGGGCCCCTTAGTTATAAATAAGTTAAGATACGTATATGTAATTTAGAGCACTTATAACTAACTTATACACTAAGTTTGCTAAGTTAGTTAGCCAACTGATAAGTTGATTTATAAGTTACGAAATGTTGTTTTTGTAGTAAAAAATCATCGTGCAGAGCCCATGTGTTAAAAGAAGAGGTTTTTGGGCGCTCTTCAAGAAGAGGTGCTCTTGGCCCTGCAACGCCATCTCAAAGCAAGTTGGTGTTGCGGAGAAACGAAAGCTGTCTGGCTGAGAAACGGCTGCAGGCAAGGACACAAAACGTTTAGCGCATGCGCTTGGGATATGGGGATGTGTCCGCGATGTGTCCGCGTGTGCCCCGCGTGTGTCGAAAACCCGATGTGTCCGCGATGTGTCCGCGATGTGTCCGCGATGTGTCCGGTGTGTCCGCCCCATTTTTTGGAGTGTGTCCGATGTTTTCCTGTGTGTCCGCCCACTTTTGCACCACATGTCGCCAATGTGTCCCCCGTGTGTCCGGATGTGTCCGGATGTGTCCCCGACGTGTCGGTGTATATGTCCGAATGTGACCCGAATGCGTGCCAAGCCAAACGCTTCGCAAAACACGGCCCGGCCCGGAACATCAGCTGTGGAAACTCCTCGAGACAAGAAAAACCTGAAAAACAATCGTTCCGAGCCTATAACCTTGCAAAATCCTATATCTGACAGTCTCGAGCATGGATCTCATGAAAACACGTTTTTTAAAGCTAAGTTGTGTAAGTTACTTATAAGTTGGGCACAAAAAAACTTATAACTAACTTATATCTTGAACGAGTACTTTATAACAAAACCATGAACTTAACAACTTATAAACTATGTTAGGAACATTATAAATTGATTTATAGGGGCCCCACCCTGTAGGAGGCTGATGATGTTGGGGTGCCGTATCTGGGCGAGCACCTCGCGCACGATAAAAGTCTTTGCACTGACTCCGATTGTAGTTCATGAGCATGGTTTGCCCTGCCTGCTCCTCCTGGAGGGAGTCAGCTGTTTGCAGCACCTGCCAAGTTCAAGTTGTTGCGGCTTGACGTGCACCACCGTGCACGTCAAAAGGAAATCCCTAAGAGGCCTTCACGGCCACGGCTGTGCCGTCTCGCAGGCAGGCACGGTACACGAGCCCGTAGCTGCCGGTGCCTGGCTCCACTCTGATCAAACAAGCATTCGTGCTGCTTTGGGGAGCATCGACAGTACTTCTTCAGGGGGCGCAACGTCTGTAGAACAAATCTGGAAATCAAGGTCTCCACTGCAGCGTTAGAGCAAACAAGCGTTCTGGGACGACGTGGTGAAAACAGTCCGCCCCACCATGTGAAGCATGGCTTTCTGAGGCGTTTAATGGCGACCTTTCCAGGGCTGTGAGTACACATAAGCAATACATTTCTACGAAATTGGCTCTTTGCCGAGCTCCATTTTTGACTCTTTGCATGCTTCAACACGCATCACTTCGCTCCTTACTTACGAGAAGGGTCAGCACCCTCTCCCCAGCAGCTGGACCAGCCTTGCAACAGCTCCTCTTCGTGGCCATTTGTCGCCTTGCGCAGAAAATAGATAGGTTTGATTTGTGAATGACCCATATGCAGTCGAGGCCCCCTCCCTAGCTTTGAAAGCCCGGAAGCGAAATCCTAAAGCGCCACCTCCAGGAGCTCTTCCCAAGAGTACGCCGGCACCAATTCCTCCTTGTGCTGCAGTTTCTTTTTGTGAAGAGTGAATCTTGCAAAGCACACGAAAAACGCAGCACACGTATTTACACCACCTACACGTGCTAGCAACTCTAGCACGCAAAGCAGGAGAGAGCAACGAAGATTCCCTGGCCAGACCATTCAACTCCCGCAAAGGCCGGCGAAGATTCTACGCGCCACCTGCCCAGCAGGGCTGGGGCAACGAAGCTTCCTGGTCCACCCATTCAACTCCCAAAGCCGCCCGTGAAGATTCCACGTCCCGGCTGGAAGGCTTGTCGCCAAGCCACGGTCGGTCAGGCACTAGAAGATTGGGGAGACCATTGCGGCGGCGTTTAGGTTCTTACGGTTTGCGGCTGTTAGGGTCCTTGGGTCGTGCAGAGGGCTTGTTCCGCCCAAGATGCCTCGTTCGTATGTCTTGGCTTTGGCTTTGTTATAGCAGGGGTTGGTGGGATTTGCATTAATTAGTGGCACCACAAAGGCTTCGCCTTACCATGTGTCTCATTGGACCATTGGACCATGCTTGCGAGGCGAAATGGAAGGTAGCAGTCCACGAACATCAAGCAAGAACAAGCGACTGCACCAGGAGAGAGCCCTCGTGTCCTCGGTCGAGCGGCGGCCCCCGTCCGCGTTCTCCTGCGAAAAGCAGCGTGCTCATTAATTACATTTTCAAGACAGAGCTCCCACATCAGATCAAGGCAGCCAGCGTGAGCTGCTATGAGAGCTTGCCTGCAGCGCAGCTTGGAGGTCAGAAGCACGTTCAGTCCTGACAGCAACCTGGAACATCGGCAAGGGAGGCCTCGGCACATCAACTGAAGATTTTGAACCTGTGGCCTTGCGGCCGAGCCGCTACACAATTGCACACCAGTGTACACATCTGTATTGCCTGTACAGTTCAGCATGGAAGGAGAGCAGTGTGCACAAACCATTTCCACTTTAGACAGAGCAGAAGAGGCAATCAAAGCAACAGGTAACATATAGCACAAGCAGCACAAGCACCACAAACAATGGCAGCAACACAGCGAGCGCAGAGGCTACTGTAGCAACAAAAAAAGGCTTTGGAGGCCTGATGCCAAAATGCTGCAAGGCTGGGCCCTATTGACCCTCCCCCCTCCCCCCCCCCCAACAGCTAAAGTAACTTTAACAACAGCAGTCCTTTTGTGGGGGACTCCCCACCGTCCTCCTCTGCCCTCGTCCACAGCGATTTTCCTGCAGTTCTCGGCCCGCGGCGCCTCCGCCGGTCCTGGCTTGACCGCCTTGACCGCCCTCTGGACCTTCGCTTTAAAGGCTGCGAGAAGGCTGCGAGGCTCCCAACCTCTCCAAGCTCAAAACAGCTGGGCCCGGTTAAAGCTCCTGACCTTCATCGGGGTCCGGCTGGCCAGGCTGGCAGCCTCAGCTCAGTTGCAACCAAAAAGGAACTTTTCTCAACAACTTCATGGCGTCCTCTGGCAAAATTTGCAAGGCTCCAAGATCGCGGCGCTGGCTTCACCATGGCCTTTGGCCTGAGAGTGCGAAAGTTCAAAGAGCACACACGCAGGGCCGAGCAGCGAGCCGGCACATCATGGGCCATTTCACCTGAAACGCCATGCTGCACAAATGCCAAAAAGGAGGGTGCTGCTGACATGCATGGTGTCTCGCTCGTGCGTGTCCATCTCATGCCCGCACATGCGCCAACTGCGGCACACATATTACTTGAAGTTCTAAATACCCTAAGGTCCATGTACCTACTAGTTGGGGCTTCTAGTCCTTTTAGAGCGCTAATCTACGCACTACTTTAGCTAAACTCCTTTGTGGAAAAATCGCTGTAATGGATTGGGTGAAAAATGGACCTCTAAACCCTAAACCCTAAACCCTAAACCCTAAAAATAGCACAACCACCAAGTTGCTGTTCAAGGATGACGCGTTTCAAAGACGAGGGCTAGTTTGGCGCCCACAATAATTACTTGGGAACCACGGCGGTTTAGGGTTTAGGGTTTAGGGTTTAGGGTTTAGGGTTTAGGGTTTAGGGTTTAGGGTTTAGGGTTTAGGGTTTAGGGTTTAGGGTTTAGGGTTGCTTAAGGGGAGCAAGCCGCACTCCTTGGCAGCAGAGAGGTCTTTGACCTGACGGTCTCTGACTTTGCCCAGATAATTATGTAGAATTTAGGGTTGAGGGCTCAGGGATAACAAATAGCAATACATATACATATATATATATATATACGTATATATATATATATATATGTATATGTCTTTGTATGGATGGGGGGGGGGTGCCTTTTGCATGCGAATGAATACGTGGTGCTTTGGGCTTAGGGGCCAGGGCTTAGAGACTCCCATCATGTGGGGACGATAAGGGGGGGTGACTAAACCCTAAACCCTAAACCCTAAACCCTAAACCCTAAACCCTAAACCCTAAACCCTAAACCCTAAAGGATTAAACGGGTGCCCTTCTAGGCTTTTACGGGGCTTACAAGTGAACCTAAGCCAGGGTCCATCTACCAAAAAAGTATATACTTGGGCCCTAAAGCTACTATAGGGGAACCCCTTTAAGGGCCAAGTGTATACTAGAAAGGTACATGGACCCCAAAAGGGAGCCCTAAAATAGGGGAATAGGGCCCTACTCTGGGTCTTGAAACGTTTTCGCGTCGACTTTGGGCCTGTTAACAAGCTTATGGGGGCGGGGGGGGGTCCAGGGGGTTTCGGGTTTAGGGTATAGGGTTTAGGGTATAGGGTTTAGGGTTTAGGGTTTAGTTTAGGGTTTAGGGTCCTAAAGAAGGATATGAAAAGCTCTCAGAAATTCTGGTCACCTGTCAGATGCTTGCAAACCCAAAAAAGACCACGCAGTTCAGGGAACTGACCATACACCCTTGCCCCAAAATAGGCAAGCGTACCTTAATCATTGGGCATATTGCCCTCTTTTTAGGGTAGGGCTTATAGGGCGGAGGGCTTAGCTGGGTGAGTTTGGAATGAGGGTTTAGGATTAAAAGTTTGAGGGCTTGCGGCTGCATTCTCTCTCTGTGTCTGTGTGCTGAGTTCTGAGCCCAAATTTGGAGGACTTGAGATCTTTGAGCCTGAGCCCTAACCCCACAAAGGATGTGCGGAGCCCTAAACCCTAAACCCTAACCCCTAAACCCTAAGCCCTAAGCCCTAAACCCTAAACCCTAAACCTGTCAGCATCGCTCTGCCTGCGCGGACAAGTGGGCTGCATCCTTGGCGGTGGCCTTCTTCTGAGACATTTCCTGGGCCCCAAGCCCAAACAACCCTCATGGGTTTATAGGGTTTAGGGTTTTGTGGTTTTGGGGTGTACGGGTTTCGGGGTTTAGGGGTTTGGGGTTTAGGGGTTTCCCACCCCCGCCCCCCGCCCCCCCCCCAAAGCGTATTAGGGTTTCAGTGTCTGGGCGTTTTGGGCTCTATGGTTTGGGGGGTTTAGGGTCCCTGAACCCTGAACCCTAAACCCTAAACCCTGGCTATTGATTTAGGACCCTAAGCCCTAAACCCTAAACCCTAAACCCCAAACCCTAAACCCCCAAGCGCAAAACCCTTGTAGGCTTCGAAGGAAGAGTCCTCAGCACATTCGGCCCGCAACTGCTCCACGGACTGCAGCAGCTGCGATTTCTCCTGCCAAGGGAATAAAGGAGGAACCCTTATAAGTGAGCTTAGGGATCTAGGGTTTAGGGGTTTAGGGGTTCATTCAGGGGCTACTTAGCTAGATAGGGACTATATTGGGTATATATAGGGGTTAGATCGGTGACATTACCCTAAACCTAAGCCTAAACCCTTCTAGGGGTCCCTCCTTATACCCCTTTCTCCTGCGTGGCCTCATCCGAGAGTACCCTGGACTTGTCCACGGCCTGCAAGAACTACGACTCCTAGGGTTTAGGGTTAGGGTTTAGGGTTTAGGGTTTAGGGTTTAGGGTTTAGGGTTTAGGGTTTAGGGTTTAGGGTTTAGGGTTTAGGGTTTAGGGTTTAGGGGTTAGGGTTTAGGGATTAGGGAGGAAGGTAAGAGACCCCATGGAAGAACGAACTTAGGGTTTAGGGTTTAGGGTTTGGGGTAGAAGGGGATAATAAGAGGGCCGGCTTTGAGGAGCACCCCGCACTTCCTGCCCGGTGCTACGGAGACATCGCTAAGTCTCACAAGAGCTGTAAGCCTGAACCCTGAACCCTAAACCCTAAACCCTAAACCCTAAACCCTAAACTAAACCCTAAACCCTAAACCCTAAACCCTCTCGAACATGGGGGGAAGCATTGGCGGCGCACAGCGCAGAGTGGGGAAGCCGCGCACTGCCCTTCAACCAGCTCCGCGGTAGGGTTGATAAGGTTGAGGATGTGTTTAGGGTTTAGGGTTTGGGGTTTAGGGTTTAGGGTTTAGGGTTTAGAGCTGACAAGCAAGGGCCGCAAAGTTATAAGTTGGGTTATAAGGGTCCTATAAAATCGGCTAATTATACTGCATATCATTTAGGATATATAATTTCTCTAGCTAACGTTCGTAGAGTAAGGGGGCCCCTACTTGTAGGGGCAGGCTGTGCGGAGTGTGGCTCGTGGTGACAAGGTGACCAGATGCGCTGGTTGACGGTGTGGGGTTTGGGCTTTGGGGTTTAGGGTTTAGGGTTGAGGGTTTAGAGGGTTTTGGCCTTGCACTTTGTGGATGAGAAGCCAGAGGCCTTTGGGATATTGCATTTTCCCTTGATCTGGATTTCGACTGATTTCCTAACTTATGTTCGAAGCTTTCCTTTCGCAACACGTTCAGAGATGTGCCTGCCGCGTTTCTCCGCAAAAAAAAAGGCCTCTTTTGTGGACCCTCACTGTCTTGCTGTTGGCAAGAGCCCGTGAAAACTCTGCATTCTGTGCTTGTCATGCAACACGAATTACATGACCCACCCTCTTTTCCACAGGAGTCGCTCAAAGGATGTGGTACGCTTTTGAGATCTGTTGAGGGCTTTGGGTTCGGGTTCAGGGGCCTAGAGAGATGCTTGGGCTTCAGGGCTTAAACTCTCGGGTTTAGGGTTTAGGATTTAGGGTTTACAGTAGAGTTTAGGCTTTAGGGTTTAGGGTTTAGGGGTATATACCCTACTCAGTTAGCACCTAAGAAAAAGTCGAACGCCCCAACGGCCCAAGGCCTGCGCATGCTCCGTCTTCCACGCATCGAGCTGCTGAGACAGGTGGCTCGCTCCTCGGGGTTTGGGGGTTTAGGGGTTTATGGTTTAGGGTTTGGGGTTGAGGGGTTTCGGGTTTCAATTGGGGGTTTAGTTTAGGGGCGTACTAAACCCCGATTTAGGGTACACACATATATATATATATACATAATATATATATTATATATATATATAGGGTTTGGGGTTTGGGGTTTTAGGGGTTTCCTTTGGTTTGGTTCTTGGCTTCTGATCAATCAGCATCACCAGTCAAGTTGTTGTCTGTGACTTGTGAGAGCCTACGCCCTAAACCCGGCGCATCCTGAATCCCATACCTCTACGCTGAAGAGCCCCTGAACCCTAAACCCCAAAGCGCCTGAACACTAAACCCCAGAGCCCCCTGAGCCTAACCCTAGAGTCCGAAAACCCACAACCCCAGAGTCCTAGACACCCGGGTCCCCAGCCCTGAACCCCAGAGCCCCCTCAGCTAGCACCCAAGAGTAACCTAGGAATATAGACGGGGCTTCTAACATAACCTAAACCCGGAAACAAACGAAGAGGGGCCTTCTCTGGGTCCTAGTAACCCTAAACCCTAAACCCTAAACCCTAAACCCTAAACCCTAAACCCTAAACCCTAAACCCTAAACCCTAAACCCTAAACCCTAAACCCTAAACCCCGGGGTCGCTCGTGAAGCCCAAAGATCCTCAAGCTTTCATCCTCCTCTGGAGAGACTTCAGCAGCCCTAAAAACCCTAAAAACCCTCAAAACCCTCAACACCCCCAAAAGCCTAAACCCCCAAAACCCAAAAACCCCTAAACAATAAAAAAACCAACACCCAAACCCTAAAAACCCAAAAACCAAAACCCCAAACCCTAAACCCTAACCCTAAACCCTAAACCTCAAACCCTAAACCCTAAACCCCAAACCCTAAACCCTAAACCTCTGAAACCTTCCAGCGGCCGGGGATCGATCCGTGGCTTCTTTGAGCAGGTTCTCCCTCGCAGCGTCGCCGGCGGACACGGCGTGCTGGAGACGCTGGATCGTGGAATTCCTGGACTTCGTGACGTTTAGGGTTTAGGGTTTAGGGTTTAGGGTTTAGGGTTTAGGGTTTAGGGTTTAGGGTTTAGGGTTTAGCGGTTAGGGTTAGGGTTTAGGGTTTACCTGAAGATCCTAGCGGCCGGAAATTAGTGTCCTTATGGCAAAATCTGGATTATACCGTAGAAAGGCCGTATTTTGGTTTTTTAATGGTTTTTTGGGTGTAGGCAAAGCGGCCATTTTTTTGGTTTAGCCTAATAATAGTCAGGCAAGTATCCTATTGCCTGTGTAAGGGAACTCGTTGGTGCGCGCGCTCCATATGTGAGTTCGAGGCTTGCGAGGCTACTTCTCTCTGAAGCCCAAAAGATTGAAAAGGATTGCTTTACGAGCACTTACGCGACTCTTTGTCATCCAAGGACCTACAGGAAATGGGTCTTCCGCAAAAGACTACAAATCCGTACCCTTATCCCAATAAAATGTCGACATTTTTTCGGGATTTTGGTGAGCCGCAGGAAACCGTAGGAAAACCGTAACCCGTAGGAAAACCATATTTTATCGACATTTTGTCGACAAAAAACCAAAGAAAACCAAACCCCAATCCCGATAAAATGTCAATAAGCGGGCGTTTTTGTTTTTTTTAACCCTCGTAGAATGAGCCTGACCGCATAATCCAGACCTCTACAAGGCACGACCGCGCCCTGAAACCAAGCTCTTTCAGCCTTCTCAAGCCTGAGTACCTAACTGGTCCATGTTTCGGCTTTACTTGTTTTGATTGTGTTTTGTTAACGGCCGGAAACAGTTTTTTTGCAGCCCCGCCAAGCGGACAGAAATTTCGCGAGGACATATTTTTCCAGCCTCTCGAAGCGGACGCGAATTTATGGCACAAGGGATTCCCAGGTAGGGTCTAGGGTTCAGGGTTTAGGGGAGCGTTTTCCTGGGCTTCGGAGAGCGCCAGGGCATTGGTTTCGGGTTTAGGGCTTAGGGCTTAGGGGTTGGTTTGGGGTTTAGAACTTAGGGGACTTAGGATGTAGAATTTAGGGTTCAGAAAGGGAAGTCAACCTTAAAGAAAAAGAGGGGGAAACCATCGCAGGGGAGGGCGCAGCTCATCCGCCACAGCAGCCGCATTTGAGGCATCAGCTGCTCTGCCATCCTCAACTGGATGTGAAGTTCTTAGGGTTTAGGGTTTAGGGTTTAGGGTTCAGGGTTTAGGGTTTAGGATTCACACCCACACCTCAAAAGCCTTAAATCCTAGGGTCCCAGACCCTGTCTAAGCTGAAAGCTCGACAACAAGGCCGACCGTGCTTGAAGCCACAAAAACCCCAAGCCTGTTTAGGCCCTACATGATTTAGGGCTCTGGGCGTGGGGTTTGGGGTTTAGGGTTTAGGGTTTGGGATTTAGGGCTCAGGGTGTGGGGTTTGGGGTTTAGCGTGCATGTCTAAACAACGAGTCCCTTGTTGGGGCACCCAAATGCAAGGGGCTGTATTGTAGCAGGGAGCCTGAACCCCAACACCTAATTAAACCCGGTTTAGAGATTAGGTAGAGATTAGGGTTCAGGGGTTTAGGGTTTAGGGAGAACAATGTAGAGAACTGCTTGCCATAAGGGGGTTGATCGAGGGTCACGTGCCTGCGCTGCTCCAGGAAACGATGGGGAACGCACTCTGACGCCTAGCCGCCCGGAAGTGCCCGAAACCCTAAACCCAAAACCCAAAAGCTTACAAGCCCTAAACCCTCAACTCTAACTCTTAAACCCTGAACCCCTAGAACCCTTAATCCAGAGAACTGGGTCACATGCCTTCTGGGAGTAGGCCCAGCCCCGCCCCTCTCAGTCCTGCTCCGCGGAAAAGTCGGTGCGCAGCCTAGGAGTGGGGGATGCGCGGGTCTAGGGTTTAGGGTTTCGGGTTTAGGGTTTAGGGCTTAAGGGTTTATAACTGAGGTTTGTTTAGGGTTTAAGGTTTTAGGGGTTTAGGGTTGACGGTGGTTTAGGGCCTAGGGCCTCGGGCTTAGGGCTTGGGATTTTAGGTTTAGGGCTTCAGGCTTCAGGGTTTTAGGGCCAAGGGTGTTAGGGTTCAGGGTTCAGGGTTTAAGGTTTCGCAGCTCCACGAAGTCGTGAACTGCGGACTTGTGGGAAGACATGCTGCCTAGCTACAAGAGCTCTCAGGTGTAGAAGCTAGTGCTGAGCGACCAGCCTTAACGGTGGCCCTACACCCTAAACCCTAAACCCTAAACCCAAAACCCATAGTTCTGGTTCGTGCACAGGCAGAGAGGGTTGGGAATCGGATGTAGTCTTTGAGCTAGACCCAAGACCAACGAACGACGAGCCTTCTGGTTTAAATAGGTGCCATGTTGAGAGCTTAGAAGGGTTTAGGGTTTAGGGTTTGGGCTATACATCACAGAGAAAAACACCTGCTATAGAATGGGCCAGAAGCTGCTTCAGCTCCGCAGCGAGATTGGCCACATCTTGTTTGCCCTGAGCCTCCAGAGCCTCACCTCGTTCCACTGCCGCGGTATGCTCCCGCTCCCAGTCTGCAATCTTCTCCGTGAGCTCTTGGATCTTGGCTGATGCATCCTTCTCTTGAGTGGAGCGTGTCTCTGTCTCGCTTGAAAGTGTCTCCTGCAGCTGCTTGATGGTAGCATTCAGCTCGTCCGCATCCGCTGCTGCCTTGGACACGTCAGATGCTCGACCTGCTTGCTCAGCCTCAAACTCTGAGCGAAGCTGCTCCAGTTGGGACGTAAACTTGTCCACATCGTCTTTGCCCTGAGCCTCCAGAGCCTCACCTCGTTCCACTGCCGCAGTATGCTCCCGCTCCCAGTCTGCAATCTTCTCCGTGAGCTCTTGGATCTTGGCTGATGCATCTTTCTCTTGAGTGGAGCGTGTCTCTGTCTCGCTGGAAAGTGTCTCCTGCAGCTGCTTGATGGTAGCATTCAGCTCGTCCGCATCCGCTGCTGCCTTGGACACGTCAGATGCTCGACCCGCTTGCTCAGCCTCAAACTCTGAGCGAAGCTGCTCCAGTTGGGACGTAAACTTGTCCACATCGTCTTTGCCCTGAGCCTCCAGAGCCTCACCTCGTTCCACTGCCGCGGTATGCTCCCGCTCCCAGTCTGCAATCTTCTCCGTGAGCTCTTGGATCTTGGCTGATGCATCTTTCTCTTGAGTGGAGCGTGTCTCTGTCTCGCTGGAAAGTGTCTCCTGCAGCTGCTTGATGGTAGCATTCAGCTCGTCCGCATCCGCTGCTGCCTTGGACACGTCAGATGCTCGACCCGCTTGCTCAGCCTCAAACTCTGAGCGAAGCTGCTCCAGTTGGGACGTAAACTTGTCCACATCGTCTTTGCCCTGAGCCTCCAGAGCCTCACCTCGTTCCACTGCCGCGGTGTGCTCCCGCTCCCAGTCTGCAATCTTCTCCGTGAGCTCTTGGATCTTGGCTGATGCATCTTTCTCTTGAGTGGAGCGTGTCTCTGTCTCGCTGGAAAGTGTCTCCTGCAGCTGCTTGATGGTAGCATTCAGCTCGTCCGCATCGGCTGCTGCCTTGGACACGTCAGATGCTCGACCCGCTTGCTCAGCCTCAAACTCTGAGCGAAGCTGCTCCAGTTGGGACGTAAACTTGTCCACATCGTCTTTGCCCTGAGCCTCCAGAGCCTCACCTCGTTCCACTGCCGCAGTATGCTCTCGCTCCCAGTCTGCAATCTTCTCCGTGAGCTCTTGGATCTTGGCTGATGCATCTTTCTCTTGAGTGGAGCGTGTCTCTGTCTCGCTGGAAAGTGTCTCCTGCAGCTGCTTGATGGTGCTATTGGCCTTGCTGAGGGCCTGGCGATGTCACTATCTGCAAACCTGCACCACAAAGCCTACAAACCCAAGCCCAACGATGAACCCGAACATATCCGAACCAGAAGCATAAACCCTGGCCATACCTCTGAGACATTTCGTGATATCCGTTCTCATGCAACGCGACGTCTCGATGTCGGATTGGGTTCACCCCTAGTTGCTTACTACCCTTTTTGAGTGCAAGGTTAGGATTGGGTTGACCGGCAGAAACTCAACCTTCTTGGTTCTTGGGTTCTAGTTCTTGGGAGGAAAATAGGGTATTAAGAACCCCCATCAGGAAAGTCGTAGGGTTTAGGTGTAGGGTTTTGGGTTTAGGCTTTAGGGTAAGGGAAACCAAGGTGTTATGGGGGAGGTCGGGAGGCCGGGACCATATTCACACTACATGCAAGGGACTCGGCGCGAAACTCTAATCCCCATACTTAACAACCCGATGAGTCTACTTCTTGAGCCCTCAACCCAAAACCCTAAACCCCAACCTGACTGCGCGAAGTGGCGGACGCACCCTTGCATTCTGAGTGCTGCAGCCAGGTTGTTCTCGCGGAGATCGGGCTCCGCAACCGAGATCGTGACGAAGTGTCCGTGCAGGCGGGCAAAGCCCTCGAAGGACTTCGACCGCATCGCCCCATACCGGGGCAGTGCGAATTTGGCCTGATCCACACCGTCCAGAATGACGATGAACTCGCCCGCGGTCGCGAGCGACCGCGTAGTCTCCAGTACGCACTGCGGTCGTCGAACCGCGACTTGGGGCCCGAACTGAGAACTGTTTAGGGTTAAGGTTTAGGCTGGGCCGCCCAGTAACCTAGGCTTAAAAAGGGTGCGCTTTTTTGCTTAAAGGGGTTTGTAAGGGAACCTAAACCCCCCAAAAAGGGAATAAAGGTACTACTGGGCATCCTTGTAGGGGTACTCCCTACCTAGACCCTAAACCCTGAACCTTAAACAGCCTGAAGTTCCTAGGTCCTATAGGGCTCAGGGTCTAGGGTTTAGGGTGCACCCTACACCCTAAACCCTGCACTTTCAACAGCATGAAGTTAGACACCCTACGTCCTGCACGGACCCGCAGGGGAGGCATGAACATGAGTTTCGGGTTTTGGTGAAGAATTAGGATGCGCACGCGCGCCGCGGTGGTGGGTAACTCTGGGGAAGGTCCGATACAGGCAAGGGCCGTTTAGGGTGCAGGGAATGTGGCTTAGGCAATGGCCCTGGAGTGGATTTTAGTCTTATTGTCTTATTGTCTAGGCTAAAACTTCCTGGAACAGAAGTAGTGAAGAAAGGGGGCACCCTACTGTACCCTCAACCCTACCTGTTAAGTTGAGGCTTTAGGGTTGTGGTTTAATCGCTTGTAGGGCTTAGATGCTAAACTCTTTTATCCTAACCCCCAAACCCAAAGCCCTGGATCCTAAACCCTACAACTAAACCTTGAGACCCTCAGGTCCCTAGGAGGGCCCTTAAAGCCCCTAAACCCTAAACCCTAAACCCTAAACCCTAAACCCTAAACCCTAAACCCTAAACCCTAAACATCCTCTGAAACCCAACAAGGGAACATACTAAATGTCCCAAGGGCCTACCTAGGTCCTCAGACCCTAAACCCAGAGAAGGTCTTTCCCTAAGCCCCTAAACCCTAAACCCTAAACCCTAAACCCTAAACCCTAAACCCTAAACCCCTGAACCGAAAGTTTTAGACCTTCAGATCCTAAGACTCTCGACTCGAAACCCTAAACCCTAAACCCTAAACCCTAAACCCTAAACCCTAAACCCTAAACCCTAAACCCTAAACCCTAAACCCTAAACCCTAACCCTCAACCCTCAACCCTAACCCCTAACCCCTAACCCCTAAACCCTAAACCCTAAACCCTAAACCCTAAACCCTAAACCCTAAATCCTAAACCCTAAACCCTAAACCCAATTCGAGCCTCATCTGCGGTCTGCTGCTGGGATTCAAGGACTTCGGCATTCTGGGCCTCCAGCTCCTTTTGTCTGTGGTGGGGAGAAGGGTTTAGTGTTTAGGGTTTAGGGTTTGGGGTTTGGGGTTTGTGGTTTGGAGTTTTGTCTTATAGGTTTGCCCAGTAACCTCGGAATCAGGGGTGCGCCCTGCTTTGGCTGCCAGGCCTTATGGATCTCTAAGGCTTATACAAGGAGGGGCCCGTTTAAGTAGAGTTATAAGAACCCTAAGTTGGGTTAGGATCCTGACTTGGGTTGTAAGTCCCTTAAGTATATTTACTATAGGAAGGAGGCACCCTCCTTGTAGGGTTGTAGGGTTTAGGGATAGGCTCTCTAGGGCCAGGGTTTGGGGCTCGAGCTGAGGTGCCTGGAGGGTATAGGAGGTCGGGTATACAGTAGGGGTCTCGGGGCCACGGTGCTGAAATACACCCGGCAAAACGGCTTAACCCTGAACCCTACACCGGAAACCCTAAACGCTACACTGTAAGCCCATAAGACCCCTAAACCCGGAACCCTAAAACCCTACAACACCTGAAAGCTCAAAGCTCTGTCTACGCCTAAGCCCTAAACCCCAAAACTCTACAACCCCAAACAACCCTAGATCCCAAGACTCTACAACCTAAGCCAACAAACCCTGCAACCCTAAACCCTCAAACACCTGACACCCCAAAACCCGAAACCCGAAACCCGAACCCCCAAACCCGAAACCCCAAAACTCCACAAACCCTAAACCCTAAACCCTACACTCCCAAACCAATTAAAAGCCCTAAACCCTAAACTCTAAACCCTAACCCTAAACCCTAAACCCTGAACCCTAAACCCTTAACCCCAAACGCTCTGGAAAAGCGCCTTCAGCTTCAGTGACAGGCTTGCCGCAGTTGCCTCGGAGCTCTGGAGGAGCTCGTCCTCCAAGGGGGGTTTAGGGGTTTAGGGGGTTTAGGGTTTAGGGTTTGGGGTTTAGGGTTTGGGGTTTAGGGTTTAGGGTTTAGGGATTTAGGGTTTGAGGTTTAGGGTTTAGGGATTTAGGGTTTAGGATTTGGGGCCCTCCTCCCTAAAGCCCTGCAAAGAACACTGAAACCCGACACCCCGACACCCGAAAAAGGGGCCCTTATTTCCCCCCAAAACACCCAACAAGGGCCCATCCTTCCGAACTCTTTACGGAGGCTAAGGGTTTAGGGTTTAGGGTTTAGGGTCTAGGAGTCTAGGGTTTGGGGTTCTGGGTTTTGGGAGGGACCATCTTCAGGAACCCTCAACCCTAAACCCCTCAACCCTCCCTAAATAGACCTTGCTTAAGGGACCATATTAAGAGATCATGTAACTTGCTGTACTTGGAGGTTCATGGCACTTATTAACGAATTATAAATGTACTTCTAACTATACTTAGAACCATGTTAGGGCACTTACGAGGCTTATACGTAAGTAAAATTATAATTGGTAAATAAGTACCCCTAAACCCTAAACCCTAAACTCTTAACTACCCATTTGTAATTGGTTCATAAGTGCCATGAACCTCCAAGTAGAGACACCCCGAACCCACCCTAAACCCTAAACCCTAAACCCCAAACCCTCAACCCTAAACCCTAAACCCTAAACTACCCAGTTGTAAGGATGCAGCACTCCGCCTTCGCTGCCTTCAGCTCGTCGACCTGGCTTGGATCGCGCTCCCAACCCTACATAGGGTTTAGGGTTTAGGGTTTAGGGTTTGGCGTTTGGGGTTTGGGGTTTGGGGTTTGGGGTTTGGGGTTTGGGGTTTGGGGTGAAATCCTATGGCTTGACCCAGAAATCCCGGGTTTATCGGGTTTATAGGCTTTATAGGGTTTATCTAAACCCAAGAGTAACCTAGGAACAAAAAGGGCACCCATTTTGGTGCAAAGCGGCTTATAAGGCAACCTAAAGAAAGAGGATCAGAGCCTAGTCCGGGTCTTAGGTTATCAACCCAAAGACCTGAACCCTCAACCGTTTAGGGTTTAGGGTTTAGGGTTTAGGCTACGGGGAAAGAGGTACAGGCTTGGGGCGTAGGGTTTGGAGCTCTCCTTTTCCTTATTGAAATGGCTTCCGAAAAAAAAACCTGACTCCCCCTCATAAGAGGTACCACCCAGCATCTTCCTAGCTAAAGACGGTTTCTACACGGCACAAGTTAAACCACCCCAACTCTACACTACAAATACTATAGGCAACCCTTTTCACCCAAAACCCCAAACCAAACCCCAAACCCCAAAAACCCCAAACCCTAAACCCCAAACCCTAACCTTAAACCCCAAACCCTAAACCCTAAAACCCTAAACCCCTAACCCCTAACCCTTAAACCCTAAAACCCTCTACCCAAGCCACTTCGCGCCTGCGCAGCGAGGCGCGAGGCGTCGCCGGCGTGCGTGTCCTTGAGGGACGCCTCCTCGGCGCATTCCGACCGCAGCTGCTCCAGCGACCTGGGGCTAGGGTTCAGGGTTTAGGGTTTAGGGTTGAGGGTTTAGGGTTCAGGGGTTTGGGTTTAGGGTTTGGGGTTAGGGGTTCAGGGCTTAGGGTTTAGGAGTTTGTTGGGTTTATAGAGTTTAGGTTTCTAGGGTTCAGGCGGGGTGGGGTTCGGGCTCTGCTCTAAAGTGGCCTATTCATTCCATGGTGGTTACATGGTCCCTTAACATGCGCTCTTGAAAAGGCGACCCCATATATACCAATATACCCCGTATATACCCTCTGCAACCCAGGGGCTCATACTTCACAAACCTTTAAAGAAGGTAAGAGACCATCCTAAGGAACCCTCAGCCCTAAACTCCAAACCCTAAACCCTAAACCCTATCCCTGAACCCTCCCTTTGGGAACCCTTTTTAAGGGACCACGTGACAACCCTCATCAAGGGACTGGGGTTATTATAGGGGAACAAGATTGAGGGTCCTTCTAGGGGGTCCCTCCTTATACCCCTTTACCTTAGACTTGCGAAGTGCGCAAGGCACTAAGGTTTAGGGCCTGCGGGTGTGGCCAAAGGGCTTTGTCGGATCTTGGGATCTTTAGGGCATGGGGGCATTGGGGACCTTACCGTACCTAGTTGGGGGGGTTTTAGGGTTTTCGGGTTTCGGGTTGAGGGTTTAGGGCGGGGTTGGAGCTTAAGATTGTTGGTTTGGGGCTTCAACTCATTCCTGTTGCCCCTCTGTAGGGTTTACAGGGCTGAGGAGGAACTCGGGGGTCTTAGATGAGGTTTCCGGGTCTCCGGTTGCTGGGGGGGGGGGGGGGGGGTTGGGAAATGGGCCTTTGTGGGGGGCTGTAGGGAAACCCTTAACTCGAATTCTTTTTTCCCACTCCCTCAACCCGAAACCCTGAAACAACCCAAATTCCTCATCTGCCCTAAACCGAGAACCTAAACCCTAAACTGCCCCGACCTCTTAAACCCCTCCAAAAGAAGGCTGCAAAGACACTGCCCTGAAGCTCAACCCTAAACCCGAAAGAGCTTAGGGTTTATGCAGGGTCTAGGGCTTATCCTAACCCTATACTCCCCTTAGAACCTTAACAAAAAATAGTATGTTTTTTTTTTTTTTTTTATCCTCTTGGGTTTTACATAAACAAAATATCATTCCCAAGGGAGATACAGAAACCCTACACCCGGAGCCCATGACTAAGCTGCAGAGGCACTGCATCAGCTGCGACTTCTCCTCCGCAGCAGCATGAGACGCGGCACGCGCCTCGTCCACTGCCTCCGCGTGCTCCGACCGCCAACCTGGTTGTGCTACTTGAATCCTTAGGGTTTAGGGTTTAGGGTTCAGGGTTCGGGGTTCAGGGTTTAGGGTTTAGGGTTTAGGGTTCAGGGTTTATGGTTTAGGGTAGCCCAGTAGCCAAAATCTACTGAGGGCCGGAGACTTTTACAAAGGAATCCAGAGCCCCCAAAAGGGCAAGAGGGTGCCTTGGAGGCCCAATTTGGGTATTTCGCCTAGGAACACTCTCCTTTCGTGGATCCTTTCTCGGGGGTCTGTTGGGTGATAGGCTTAGGGTGGACTTTGGGTTTATTGAAAGGGTTTGGGCATGCAAGGTCTTTAAGGTTGTGTAAGGATTCGGGTTCAGAGCTCCTCCGTTGAGGAAAATGGCGAGGTGCTTGACCAGAAGTGTCTTGGGGACTCTTGGTGGGTTCAGGAGAAGTGTCTTCAGATTCTTGGTGGGTTCAGGATTCTAGACCACCAAGAGTATCCTAGGAAAAAAAATGTGCCCATTTTGCTTTAAAGGGGCTTGTAAGGCAACCTAAACGCAAAAAAAAGCGGGAACAAGGGCTTACTGGATTTTTGTGCGAGGTTGAAGTTGAGGTTGCCAGAACCTTAGACCCTGAATCCCTAAAGAAATATAGAAGAAACAGTCCAAACAAACCATTGATAATTCTTGGCCTACACAGTCTAAACCCTAAACCCTAAACCCTAAACCCTAAACCCTAAACCCTAAACCCTAAACCCTAAACCCTAAACCCTAAACCCTAAACCCCAAACCGTAATGAACTAGGCCCCTGTATTGGTCGGTTCAGCCCAGGAGTCCATCCAGCTGATGCGACAGATCGCTGGCTTTGTCCTGGGTTAGGGTTTAGGGTTTATTAGGGTTTAGGGTTCAGGGTTCAGGGTTTAGGGTTTTGGGTTTAGGGTGTAGGGTTGGGTTTAGGGTTTAGGCTTTAGGGTTTAGGTTTTAAATTTTAGGGTTCAGGGCTTGGGGTTTAGGATGGTTTAGGGCACTCTCAAAAAGAAGCCAAGACCTCCCCCAAAAAGGGGGCAAAGCGGGCGCCGCTGGGCTGCCGAGTGTCTGTGGCTTCTTTGAGCAACGTCTCCCTCGCTGCATCCCCATCGGAGAGATCATTCTGCAAACGCTGGATGGTGGCGTTCCTACATGGGGGGTGTACGAAACTAAGGGACCCGTAAGGACCACAAAGAGTATAGGATTCCCCTATCATAAGGACCCCAGTAGGTACCCGAAAGTTAGGACACTGCAAGATTCCCCGAGAAGGAAACATGCTTAGGGGTTCATTGGGTTCAGACGGGATCCGAACCCCAAACGAATTGTTGAATGAGAGTACTACGGGGTATCCTAGATGACAAAGCGTCCAAACTAAGGGAAAAACTTGGTAGCCCAGCAACCATATTTGAATAAGGGAAACCTTTTTGGGGTTGGTTACCTTATCAGGGCAACCTAGAAACAAAAAAAGGGGGCAAAAGGGAGAATTTCCACTGGGCTACCAAGAAAAAAGGCATCCTAAATTCTAAACCCTAAACCCTAAACCCTAAACCCTAAGCCCTCAATCCTCAACCCTAAACCCTAGGAATACGAAAAAAGGTACGAAGGGCCGCCGAGGTTCAGGTCTTCCGCAACGGCTGCTGCCTTGGAAACATCGGAAGCACGACCCTTCTGCTCGGCGGCAAACTCCGAACGGAGCTCTCCCAGCTGGGACGCGAGATTCTCCGACTCCTCTTTGCCTTGGTAGCCCCGGAATCCATTGAAGAGGAAGGGCCCTAAGCCCTAAACCCCAAATCCTAAACCCTAAATCCTAAACCCTGAACCCTTCTGTTGCTGCTTACTTTTATAAGGGAAGCTAGGACTCAACAGGGGGGCAAGAAGGGCACCACTGGGCTGCCCAGTTGCCCTTAGCCTCCAAAGCATCACCTCTTTCAGTGGCAGCTTCATGCTCCTTCTGCCAGTTCGTAACCTTGGTCGCCGGTAACCATCTCAGAATAGAGGCACCCTGTTTTGGAGGTTGGCTACTTTAATAAGGGAAACCTCTAACCGCCCCAAAAGAAAGGGAAAAGAGGGTACCGCTGGGGCTACTACCCTCAGCCCTCAACCCTCAACCCTCAACTCGCGGAATACACCAAAACGGTACGGGGCTACCAAGCAACCTTTTCCGTCAGCTCCTGAATCTGCGCTGTGGCATCCTTCTCTTGGGTTGAGCGCGCCTCCGTCTCGCTGGAGATGGTGTCCTAAGAGCATTATTTGAGGGTTCCCCCCCAAGTGTAGTAACAGGGTTTAGGGTTTAGGGTTTAGGGTAATCCCCTTTAAACAGGATTTTCTAGGAGAGTACCCCTATTGGGGATTTACGATAATAGGGGTAGCCTCCTAGGGATCCTGTTTACAGAGGATTATACTACACTTGCGGGGGAAAATGGGGTAGCCCTACTACAGGAAGCCCCCATTTCCTGAGGCCTCCTGAAAAAAAGAGTGCCAGGTAATGAAGAGCATCCTTTCATGAACCTCTGAACAATATTGCTAGGTAATGAAGGTCCTCTTCCCGCCCCAGAAGGGGCCGACAAAAGAGGTCCTACAAAGAGCCTATATCTTGGGATGTTCAAACAGTCCTTAATAGGGATTGAAATCGGGGGTACGATGATCCCTATTCAGGACTGTTCGTATAAAGGGGAACATACCTAAAACCCTAAACCGTAAACCCTCAACCCTAAACCCTAAACCCTAAACCCTAAACCCTAAACCCTAACCCTGTAACCCTAAACCCTAAACCCTAAACCCTAAACCCTAAGCCCCAGACCGTGAACACCTAGTGTCCTGCAGCTGCTTGATGGTCGCGCTCAGCTCATCAGCGGCTTTGGCCGCTTTGGAAGCATCAGCTGCTCGGCCCTCTTGCCTTTGGAAGCCCAGCAACCACATCATGATAAGGGTTTAGGGTTTAGGGTTTAGGGTTTAGGGTTTAGGGTTTAGGGTTTAGGGCTACTGTTCTAAGGGAACCTTGAACCAACTAAAGGGAAAAAGGGGTACCACACATGGCCACCAAGTGGCTCAGCTTCAAACTCCCCGCGCAGCTGCGCCAGTTGCGTCCCCAAGCTCTCCGCCTCGCCCTTGCCTAGGATGGCCCCTAAACGCCTCTGAAAAAATATTCCTAAACCCTAAACCCTAAACCCTAAACCCTAAACCCTAAACCCTAAACCCTAAACCCTAAACCCTGATCCTTCTAAACCCCCAAAAAGGGAAAACACACACAACATCCCCAAAACCCTACCGAGTTGCTTCTGGCCTCCAAGGCCTGCTCCCGTCCCACTGCCGCAGTGTGCTCCATCTGCCATGTGGCAATCCTCGGTTGGCCTCCCTGTTAGGGTTTAGGGTTTAGGGTTTGGGGTTTAGGGTTTAGGGTTTAGGGTTTAGGGTTTAGGGAATCTTCAAACATGATGCTCTTAAACCCAAGGGCAAAATATGAAATGTCCCACGCATTCTTAAAATAGGACCGTCTGAACCTCCTACAGGGCAAATGATACCAAATCGTCCCAAGGTCCTGCGTAGAATCTGGTCAAACTATTCTCAACTTCTGCTCCCCTGAACCCTTCTAAGAATAAAAAAAAAAAACGTCCCAAAGGTCCTACCCAGAATCTTGTCAAAATAGTTACCCTAAACCCTAAACCCCAGTTTTGGGGGGGAGAAAAACACAAAAAGGCCTCCCAAAGGTCCTACCCAGAATCTTGTCTGTGAGCTCTTGGATCCTGGCCGAAGCCTCCTGCTCCTGCGCGGACTTCCCTACTAGCCCCCTCCCCCCCCCCCCCCAGGTTCCCCCTCCCAACAATTAAGGTTTAGGGTTTAGGGTTTAGGGTTTAGGGTTTAGGGTTTAGGGTTTAGGGTTTAGGGTTTAGGGTTTAGGGTTTAGGGTTTAGGGAACCTAGCGGGGTAGTACGGGAACCCATGGCTCCTGTGTCGACCGAGCCGCGGCTTCGCCGGAGAGGCTCTCCTGGAGTTGCCTCGCCATGCGCGTGTCGGGGTTTAGGGGGTCAAGGGTTTGGGGTTTAGGGCTTGGGGTTTAGGGTTTAGGGTTTTAGGGTTTAGGGTTTGGGGTTTTAGGGTTTGGGGTTTAGGGTTTAGGGTTTGGGGTTTGGGGTTTGGGGTTTGGGGTTTTAGGGTTTAGGGTTTGGGGTTTAGGGTTTGGGGTTTTAGGGTTTAGGGCTTCGGGTTTAGGGTTTAGGGTTTGGTGAGGTCCGCCGACCCTGGCGGCATGTTGGATGGGAAAAGGAGGTGAAAACCTCCCTCTTTCCCTCCTACCCCCCCAAAACGCGGGGGTACTAGGGGGGGGTCCCCGGGCAGCTTTTCCATGGAACGCCAGGCCACCCACACGGCATAAACTCACGGACCATAGGCGGTTTCGCAGAGGTCATAGGCCCCTACCCCCCCCCACCCTACCCCCCGCCTACCCACCCCTACCCCCCCCTAACCCCCCCAGGCACATTGAGCTGACGAGCGCGTTTAAACCTTTCAACTATGCAGCGGGGTCGGCGGCTTGAGCCGGAGGCTCTTAAATCCGGGCACGCCCGTGGTCCGACGCCGTTAGGCGCCAGCCCTAGCTTTAGCTATGACGGGGGCCGGCTAAGCCGCCGACCCGGTTGGCTCCCCAACATCCGGCCCCAAATGCGGCCCCCGAAGGGCATCAATTTTCAGGTACAATTTTTATCGCGAAAAACGCGCTATTTGCCACCGAATTTGGGCTCCTGGACGCATTTTTTGGGTGCCCCATGGGGGGTCCCAAAAACGACCCCGGAGAGCATCATCGACTCTCTTTTTCAATTTTGGCCAAATACGCGTTGCTGATGTTTTTTGGGTGGCATTGGCACCGCAAAGGACCCCCACAAGAGCGCGCATCATGAGCATCAGCGGGTTGGGTTTTGGGTTTCGGATGCGGCTGAGAGCTTGGAAAACACAGAAATCGCTGTAAATACCGTGGTTTTCGTGCTGTTACGGACATTTCCGTTTTGAGGCCGGCATATGCTCCTATAAGCCATGCATGCCTGGAGGCCGGAGCCGCTGATGCTCATGATGCGCGGCCGGGCGGGGGGCCAGGGCGCGCATCATCGAGGCTTCGTTTCTCTTTAAAAAACCGGGGGGCGAGCATCAGCAGCATCAGTGGATACGGAAAGGGTTTCGGGCGGCGGCAGGATTTCGAAGGATGCTGGCACAACTCCATAACATGGCACTCGACATGCGCGCACACGCGCGCGCGCGCGCGGAAACACGCGCGCGCGCGGAAAACGCACCAGTTCCCGCGCGCGCTTGTGGGGGGCCAGGGTGGCATCATCGAGGCTTCGTTGGCGCGCCGTCGCTTGTTGTTGTTGTTGTTGTTGTTGTTGTTGTTGTTGTTGTTGTTGTTGTTGTTGTTGTTGTTGTTGTTGTTGTTGTTGTTGTTGTTGTTGTTGTTGTTGTTGTTGTTTGTTGTTGTTGTTGTTGTTGTTGTTGTTGTTGTTGTTGTTGTTGTTGTTGTTGTTGTTGTTGTTGTTGTTGTTGTTGTTGTTGTTGTTGTTGTTGTTGTTGTTGTTGTTGTTGTTGTTGTTGTTGTTGTTGTTGTTGTTGTTGTTGTTGTTGTTGTTGTTGTTGTTGTTGTTGTTGTTGTTGTTGTTGTTGTTGTTGTTGTTGTTGTTGTTGTTGTTGTTGTTGTTGTTGTTGTTGTTGTTGTTGTTGTTGTTGTTGTTGTTGTTGTTGTTGTTGTTGTTGTGGTTGTTGTTGTTGTTGTTGTTGTTGTTGTTGTTGTTGTTGTTGTTGTTGTTGTTGTTGTTGTTGTTGTTGTTGTTGTTGTTGTTGTTGTTGTTGTTGTTGTTGTTGTTGTTGTTGTTCGTTGTTGTTGTTGTTGTTGTTGTTGTTGTTGTTGTTGTTGTTGTTGTTGTTGTTGTTGTTGTCGTTGCTGCTGTGCTTGCTGCCGTTGTCCTGCTGCTGGTGGGCGTGCCCGGCTGTGGGCGACAGCCCTTTAGATTTAGGGTTTGGGGTTAGGGTTTGGGGTTAGAGTTTAGGGTTTGGGGTTTAGGGGTGTTGGGGTTTTGGGGTTCAGGGGTTTAGAGTTCAGGGCGTAGCAAAAGCCACCCGGAATGATTTTGCACATGAAGTTCCGCCACTCATTATTTTCAAAAGCACAAAAAAGGGGGGTTACGATGTTAGGGGTACCTTATGGGGGTCCTTATTATACGGGATCCTACGATTTGGAGGTCTATATTCGGGATCCCTGATTCTCGTATGCCCCCAAATAGGACCAACTCATGCTTGCTGCCCCCTCTACGCAGGTACTTTTATCGCATGACTCCCAAGCGGACCCTAATCTAGACGCAAAAGGGTTTCTAAGAAGGACCGGCAACCCCAAACCCCAAACCCCAAACCCCAAACCCCAAACCCCAAACCCCAAACCCTAAACCCTAAACCCAAAACCCTAAACCCCAACACCTTTTCCAAGAAGGGCCCGAGGTGCTTGACGGTGGCATTCAGCTCTTTCGCTGCCGCCGCGGCCTCGGAGGCATCCGAGGTACGGCCCTGCTGCCTTGGTAGCCCAGCAACCACATCATAGTAAGGGTTTAGGGTTTAGGGTTTAGGGTTTAGGGTTTAGGGTTTAGGGTTTAGGGTTTAGGGCTACTTTCTAAGGGAACCTTGAACCCAAAAAAACGAAAAGGGTGCCACCGGGCCCTGCTGCTCGGCGTTGAGCTCGGTGCGGAGCTGCTCGAGCCTTGAGGTGAAGCTGTCCACCTCAGGGGTCTGTGGCCCTCACTGCAAAAGGGGCCCGTGGAACTCTATGCATATATGTATATATATATATATGTGTGTATATTATGTATATGTATATGTACATGTATATGTGTATGTATATGTATATGTACATATATATATATATGTGTGTATATATGTATATGTATATGTACATGTATATGTGTATGTATATGTACATATTGAGGTGAAGCTGTCCGCCTCAGGGGTCTTTGCGCCTTAAGGGGCGCAGGAACCTATACTACTATTTGCTTAAACACCCTCCCCCCCCCCCCCCCCCCCCCCCAAAGAAAAAAACAACAACTAATAAATAAGAAACCTGAGGTGAAGCTATCCACCTGTGTTTTTGCCAGAGAAGAGACTATTACGGAGAATCTGTTCCAGAAACTCAGCCCAAACCCCTCGTAAGAAACAGGAATACTATGTCCGACATGTTCCTTAAAGTAGGGTAGTCAGGGGTCTTCGTATGTTTTAAGGGATACATTTACTGCAGGGGTCTTGAGTCTTGAGGTCTCTGCTTTACCGAAAGTGACTCCTACATCCCTTTTGATGGGTCATGGAAAGGATGCGCACTCTTTATTAGTTGTCCTAATCCCTAAACCCGAGGTCTCGGTGCGGGTGGTTTAGAGGCTTATAAAAGGGAGCTGCCGCTAGACCGTAAACCCGAAACCCCAAATCCTAAACCTCAAGCCCTAAACCCCAAACCCTAAACCCGAAACCCTAAACCCTAAACCCCAAATCCTCTCTGGCGAGTAGCATCTCCCTTGCCCCTGGCTTCCAAGGCGTCTGCCCGCTCCATGGCGACCGAGTGCTCGGCCTGCCATGAAGCCACCTCGCGGCTTGTTGGGGGGTTTAGGGTTTAGGGTTTAGGGTTTAGGGTTTAGGGTTTAGGGTTTAGGGTTTAGGGTTTGGGGTTTAGGATTTAGGGTTTGGGGTTTGGGGTTTAGGGTTTAGGGTCTAGGGCTTAGGGCTTGGGGTTTAGGGTCTAGGGTTTAGGGTTTAGGGTTTAGGTTTTAGGGTTTAGGGTTTAGGGTTTAGGGTTTAGGGTCTAGGGTCTAGGGTTTAGGGTTTAGGGTTTGGGGTTTGGGGTTTAGGGCTTAGGGTTTAGGGTTTAGTTTTTAGGGTTTAGGGTTTAGGGTTTAGGGTTTGGGGTTTAGGGTTTAGGGTTTGGGGGTGTGGGGGTTTGGGGTTTAGGGGTTTAGGGTTTGGGGTTTAGGGCTTAGGGTTTAGGGTTTGGGGTTCAGGGCCCTAAGGGCTTTGGGTTTAGGCTTAAGGTTTAGGGGTTTGGGGTTTGGGACCCTGAACCCTATAGAACCCTAAACCACAGCTGAGCGGACCAGAAGGTGGGGAGGAGGGGGGGGGGGGTTCAATGTTTTGCTTTCAGGGCTCAGGTGCGGCCTTGAGGGTTTAGGGTTTAGGGTTTAGGGTTTAGGGTTTAGGGTTTAGGGTTTAGGGTTTAGGGTTTAGGGTTTACGCACCTTTGAGCATGTGGGGTTTACGGTTGAAGGGCTTAGGGCTTAGGGTTCAAACCCGATGTCCTAGGATCTTCCTGGGCTGAGGATTGCAGGACGTGGGTTTAGGGTTTAGGGTTTAGGGTTTAGGGTTTAGGGTTTAGGGTTTAGGGTTTAGGATGCCATCAAACCCCAAACCTTAACAACAAAGCTTCCCTAAGTACCTTACAGAACGAAAAGAGGCCTCATTAACATTTAATCCCTAAACACTGAACCCCAAACCCGAGAAGATAAGCCCTTATTTCAAAATCCTACAAGTAGGGCCCCCTTTTTCGAGGTTTGGGGTCTACTGCTTTGCTCATGAGAGTTCTGCCTAAACCCTAAACTGCCAAACCCCGAAACGGCCCTGAACCCTAAGCCCTAAACACCTAAACCCTGAACCCTTGTACCCTAAACCCTAAACCCTGAACCCTGAACCCTCAAAACCCAAACCCTAAATCGCCCTGGCCTTGGCGGTGAGTTCCTGAACTCGGGCCGCCGCGTCCTTTTCCTGAAGCGTATTTTTTTTTGGGGGGGGGTCTAAAATGGGTTTAGGGTTTAGGGGTCAGGGTTTAGGGATTACTTGGATGCTCTCTTGACTTAGTAAGTGTACTTGGGAGTCGTGCCCGTCAAACTCTCTAAACCCTAAACCCTAAACCCTAAACCCTAAACCCTAAACCCTAAACAAGGCACTTCCAAGGTCAGCCCGAGCTTCCTGCGCGGAACGGGCCTCCACCTCGCTGGACACCGATTCCTGGTGGTGGGTTTGGGGTTTAGGGTTTAGGGTTTAGGGTTTAGGGTTTAGGGTTTAGGGTTTGGGGTTTGGGGTTTGGGGTTTGGGGTTTGGGGTTTTGGGTTTGGGGTTTGGGGTTTGGGGTTTGGGGTTTGGGGTTTAGGGTTTAGGGTTTGGGGCTTGGGGTTTGGGGTTTGGGTTTAGGATTTAGGGCTTAGGGTTACCTAGAGGCTCCTATGTAGTGTTTTTCTTTCGGGTAGTGTACCATAGTCCCCTAGAACCACCCCAAAACGAACTACGTTAGCAGTCTTCAGGTATGCTTTCAGGGTTTTAGGGATTCGTACGGGTTAGGGCCTATGTAGGCTATGGTGTTGAGGGTTTAGGGTGTGCTGTTTAGGATCCCCCGCCCTAACCGCTGCGAGAATACGAGGGTAGGGGGGCATGTTTAGTTGGTATGGGCAGTCTAGTTACCCTAAACCCAAAACCCAAAACCCTAAGCCCTAAACCTCCTAAACGCCCTACACGCCCTAAACCCCCCCCCCCTCCCACTGGGGCTCCTGAAGCTGTTTGATGGTGGCACTGAGCTCCTCCGCAGATGTCGCTGCTTGCTTGGAGTCCTCAGCTCACTCCCTTGCAGAGCTTAGGGCTTAGGGCTAAGGGGGTTTAGGGTTTAAGGCTTAGGGCTTATAAGGGTTTAGGGCTTCGGGCTAAGGGGGTTTAGGGCTTAGGGCTTAGGGCTCATAAGGGTTTAGGGCTTAAGGCTACAGGGGTTAGGGCTCAGGGCTTAGAGCGCAGGGATAAGGGGTTTAGGGCTTAGGGCTTTAGGGCTTTAGGGGTGAGAGCGTAGGGCTCAGGGCTTAGGGCTAAAGGGGTTTGGGGGTGAGGTGTTTGGAGGTTTAGGGCTGTAGGGTTTAGGGGATTCAGGAAGCGCAGCTCACTTGCAGGAAAACCAGGTGTCCGCTACCCGGCCCTCTTTCTCGGCGGCAAACTCGGAGCGTAGCTGCTCCAGCTCAGACCTCAGAAAGCCCACATGAAACCCAAAGCAAGCCTGAAAGAAGCACCAAATAAACCCGAAACAAGGCCAATACATACACCTCATTTGATCTATCTGTATATGTATATGTATATGTATATGAATATTTATATGTATATATACATATATATGCTATCTTTAAAGCTACTTCTTTCTCTGCAGGGTTCAGGTTGAGAGGGACGTTGAGTTGCTTTGGAGCGTCTGAACTTAGCTTGACAAGTAGGGGTTTAGGGTTTAGGGTTTAGGGTTTGGGGTGAAGGGTTTAGGGTTTAGGATTTAGGTTGACTTGGAAGCCCTTTCGACTTAACAAGTAGGGTTAGTAAGGTGGGCTCTGGGGATTTTAATAAGGGTCTTCTGGGGGTTACTAAGCAGACTTACAAAGTCAAAAGAGCTTCTAAGGCTTGGGATTTAGGTGTGGGGCAGTAGCGGTTTCGGTTTCCGGGGTTGGGGCTTGAGGGTTTCGGGCTTCGGCTGTCAGGCTGTGGGGGTGCTTGCTGGCCGTGGGTTCAGAGTTGTAGCCTGCAGTTTAGGGTTTAGGATTTAGGATCAAGGGTTGCGGGTTTCGGGTTTAGGGTCACGACTTGGACGCCTAAGCCCAGGGCTTAGGATTTTTAGGATTCAGGGAAGAGCCAGGCAGTACCACGAATCACACTTTGAGTGCAACTTCACGCTCCACTATTGCTTAAGTAGGTCGAAAACACGGAAAAATAAACAATTTCCCACAAACATCTCCCAAGGATCGTGAAACCATCCGCGTCTTGCTTGCTCTGCGCCTCCAGCACACCCCGATGCCAACACTTCCCCTAAGCCTTAAACCATTACTTGGCTGCACTTAGGAGGGTAGCTAAAAATTAAAATTTTAGCTGCCTTAAAAAAACCCAATAAACCCAAAAAGGGTAAGGATCCAAAGTTACGTTAAAGTACCACAAAGATTAATCCCCAAAGCCTTAAACCGCGCATCCCATGCACGCACAGTGGCCCTAAAACGAATCGTACATCATGACTCTGCTCACCAGCCCTAAACCCTAAACCCTAAACCCTAAACCCTAAACCCTGCTTGCAACTGCCAGGGGAAAGAAGACAGAAGAACAAAAGAACAAAAACACAACCCCGACCACCCCAAAATATCCATCGATAAGAAGAGTATAGAACTTCAGGTTTCGGGTTATCGAGGAAAGCGCTGGGATGAGCTTCCTCCAATCACATAATAGTGACACATACACGTCAATAGAAAAAAACAAGCTACCACAAGCTGGAATGAATACCCTGGAACCAATGACCATGATGGGCACTCGGCTCAGTTTTGGGTAGTTGTTTTCCAGGTAACATTGTGGATCCGGCCAGAAAGACATCACAACTACTTGTTTTGTAGTAGGGAATCATGGTCCCCATTTACTCCCTTGACTTTGTTATATACAGGCAAGGTGGAATGCACCTAATGCTCAATTTCCCTGTCAAGAACTGGAAACCTCTTCAAGTGCGCGTGACCTTGGCGAGGTGAGGTGAACTCTGTGCATCCCCTAAGGTCCATGTCGTCCATGTACCGAAATCGTCTGCAAAGTAGCGCCTGTCTGATGAGTTTCGGGGCCGAGTATACAAAATTTAGGTACATGTACCTACATAGGGTTTAGGGTTTAGGGTTTAGGGTTTAGGGTTTAGGGTTTAGGGAGTACTTGGACCCTTCCCTTAGGTCAGCCTTAGGTAATTCTTCTCTGCCATCGCAGCCGTCCGACCCAAAGCCCTAAACCCCAAACTCCAAACCCCCTAAACCCCTAAACCCCTAAACCCGTATTTTGCATAACTTTGAAGAGTTCTATGGGTGCCTAATCCCAAGATGATTGCCTACTAAGAACCAATAAAACATTCTTGGGCCCTAAACCCTAAACCCTAAACCCTAAACCCCAAGCCCTAAACCCTAGTTAAACCCTAAACCCTAAACCCCTAAAGCCTCTCCTGGCCTCGAGGGCATCTCTGCGCTGGGCCGCGGCAGCGTGCTCAGTCCTTGCTCCGAAGTGAAAGATCTGCGTTTAGGGTTTAGGGTTTAGGGGTAGGGTTTAGGGTTTAGGGTTTAGGGTTTAGGGTTTAGGGTTTAGGGTTTAGGGTTTAGGGTTTAGGGTTTAGGGTTTAGGGTTTAGGGTTTGGGGTTAGGGTTCAGGGTTCAGGGTTTAGGGATTAGGGTTTAGGGTTTATGGTTTAGGGCTTGGGGTTTAGGGTTTAGGGTTTAGGGGTGTTCCTAGGTTCTCTATATGATGTGCGGACCCCTTCCTCTGTGCATCTGTTCATTTTTTGGGTGAGGGGCTGGGTGGGGGGTGGGTTGCGGTTTAGGGATTGGGGTGTAGAGTCGAAGATTTGGGAGGGTCACAGTAGTCTACTTGAAATGGCCCCTTATCAGGCACCCGAAATAAAAGGCTCTGTATTGTGCAAACCAAAAGGGCCCTCTTCTTTAGAGAACTGTCTAAGACGTAAGTGGGGCGTGTTTTATATATATATATATATATATTATTTTTGTTTTTTTTTTGGGGGGGAGGGGGGGTGGGGTTAGCCCTTGGGGGTTACAGAAGCTCCTAACAACATGTCACATATACTTGGTACCATCTGATAATTTAGGGCACCCTTTGTTGGGTTGGTTCCTTTATAAGGGAGCCCTAAAAAAGGTGGCTAGGGTTTAGGGTTTAGGGTTTAGGGTTTAGGGTTTAGGGTTTAGGGTTTAGGGTTTAGGGTTTAGGGTTTAGGGTTTAGGGTTTAGGGTTTAGGGTTTAGGGTTTAGGGTTTAGGGTTTAGGGTTTAGGGTTTAGGGTTTAGGAGGGCCGAAACCTCAGCGTGTCTGTCAGCCGCGCGGCTGCCAGGCTTCGACCTGCTGCGTGAGCTCCTCCATCTTGGCCAGCGCTTCCTTCTCCTGAAGCGGGTTTAGGGTTTAGGGTTGGGGGTTTAGAGCTTAGGGTTTAGGGTTTAGGGGTTGGGGTTTGGGGTTTAGGGTATAGGGTTTAGGGTTGAGCCCTAAGCCCTCCACCTTTCGGTATCTCGATCTCAAGTTGGGGCGCCGGGGCAGGTCCGGCTCCGTCTCACTAAACCCTAAACCCTAAACCCTAAACCCTAAACCCCTGAATCCCTAAGCCCCTAAACCCCTAAACCCCTAAACCCTAAACCCACAAGCGACACAACTTCGCGAGTCGGTCCTGCGCGGAGCGTGCCTCGGCCTCCGTGGAGGCCGTGGCCTCCAACTGCTTCATGGCGTCATTCGCCTGGCGCAGCGCCTGAAGCATGAAAGGTCGGAGGGCTTTTGGGGATTTCAGGGGGAGCCCTAAAAAAGGTGGCTAGGGTTTAGGGTTTAGGGTTTAGGGTTTAGGGTTTAGGGTTAGGGTTTGGGGTTTAGGGTTGAGGGTTGAGGGTTTGGGTCTAGGGCTATTCGGGCTTGGGTCTGGGGGATGTAGCTTTTGGGGGGTTTGGGCTTAGGGCTTGTGGGCGAAGAGGGCCCCTGTTTTGCATAGGTTTTGCCCATGGGTTGCCCAGCCCCTACTGTGGCAACTTAGCTAAACCCTAATATTAACCCTAAACCCTGAACCCCCAAACCCCAAACCCTAAACACTAAACCCTAAACCCTACTACAAGCAATATGGGGGACCTGGGCTTAAGGCTTCGTCTGCGCGCTGTCTTTCAAGGCTACCAGAGTGTAGGGTGGCTTTTTCACCATGCAGTGTAGGGTTGGGGTTTAGGGTTTAGGGTTTAGGGTTTAGGGTTTAGGGTTTTAGGGTTTAGGGTTTAGGGTTTAGGGTTTAGGGCTTATAGCTTTAGGGCTTATAGGTTTAGGGTTTTGCCAGGCAGGCTGCAAACAATTCCTGGTCCGCGGGCCTCGTCTGCGCTCTCTTGCTGCGAGTGGCGCGCTTCCGCGTTCTTGGCCTCCAGCTCCTTGAGGGTCTATTTAAGGGGTTTAGGGTTTAGGATTTAGGGTTTAGGGTTAGGGGCTTAAAGGTTTAGGGTTTAGAGGGGTATAGAGTTTAGGGTTTAGGGTTTAGGGTTCAGGGTTCAGGGTTTAGGGTTACGAGCTTTGGGTTTAGGGGTTTGGGGTTAGGACCTATAGACCCTTAAGGGGTATACGGAGGGACCAAGGGACCTTTAATCTTATTCCCCTCTATAACCCCTCTTTATACCTTATGTTGTCCCTATATACCCAAGTAGCCCCTAAATAACCCTAAATAACCCCGAAGGTCTCTCATAAGGGTCCCTCCTTTAGTCCCATGAGGGTCTATAGCTCCCAAACCCGAAACCCCCAAACCCAGGCCTCCCTGACAAGGGCTGGAGAGTAGGGAGGTGGGGGCGTGGGCACACCTCCCCCAAAGCATGTGGATGAGCAGGCCAAAGAAAGGTCTGTGTGCCAACAAAAGGGTGTAACTTAAATCGTGTCGTCTGGTCAAGGGAATGCCATGGAATGAGCATGTCGAAAGAGCTCTCGAGCCAGGGCTCTGGGGATACGTCGATGTACTGCTCCTCACGTCTCTCGACAAGCACCCGCAAGTCTGGGTATTTCATGCCGGTACTTCCGGGCCGGAGAAGCCATGCTGAGAACTGTGAAGGCTTTCCGCAAGCGATCGAATCTGGTCAAGGCAAGTGTGGAGCAAGGTGCAAACGCAAGCTCTCAACTCGTCCCCCACAGACAAATCACCCTCCCCAAGCTGCCCTTATAAGATAACTCTTTGAAAGCGTCTTGGGGCCACGTACCATTTAGGTGCACGGGGCCACGTACCTCATATAGGGGTCGGAATAAGTACTAATAGTATTCTCTTTACTTTTTGGTCCCTTTAGAAATATACTACAATAACCCCCCACAACCCTGTTCTAATTTCTTAAGGCCCCTATATTGGCCGTCTTTTCCGGGCTCCCGCTCGTGGATGGTGCACCCGAATCCCTTGAAGCCTTAGACCCACGAGCCCTGAGAACGAAACAAAACAGCTTTAGAAGCCCTAAGCCCTACAAAGTGTAGATCCCAAACCCTAAACCCCAAGCCTACATCTCCCTAAACCCCAAGCCTAAATCCTAGACTAAACCCCCAACCCTCAACCCATAAATACACAACCCTAAACCCTAAACACCCTGATACCCTGAAGCCCTCAAAGAGTAGACCCTCAACCCAAATACCCTAAAGCCTAAACGCTCTCACCCGAAACACCCTCATACCCTGAAGCCCTCAAAGAGTAAAACCGTGCCTTGAGCTCTTCATAGTCTTTTGTCACTTGCCTCGGGTGGCAGCTGGAGGCTTTGGGTTCAGGGTTAGTTTAGGCTTTTAGGGTTTAGGGTTTTGGGGTTTGTTGTTTAGGGGTTTTGTTTCAGGTTTTCGGGTTTCTGTAAGTTTTGAGTAGGATCAGGGTTTAAGGTCGTAATTAGGCTTAGGGTTAGGGTTCACTGCTAGGACTTACCTGACCTAAGCTGGTATGCCACTGGCCTCTTAGATACTTTCGTCAGTATGGCTCGCCATGAAAGCCTAAACCCTCAACCCTCAACCCTAGACCCTTAACCGCATTGCAACCAACCATCATCGAAACTTCGGAGTCACGTGGCAAGCCGCCACAAAGACGACGGCGCGCTCGTCCCTTCGAGTGGCCAACTCGACGTAGTCGTCGTACATGGCCTTCCCCAGCTGCGCCCCGTTTGGCTGCATCCGATCCTGTATTGCCCTCAGGGAGCGCAACTTTTTCTTGATGACAAAGTCTCTTTTGAGCTACGGTTTAGGGTTTAGGGTTTAGGGTTTAGGGTTTAGGGTTTAGGGTTTAGGGTTTAGGGTTTAGGGTTGGCCAAGAGAGTCCCAGCGGGCCGGGCTCACGCCTGTCCGGCGACAGCACGCCCTCCCCAGCTCCGCATGCCTGAAACTCTCAACCCCGAAACGTTTAGGGTTTAGGGCTTAGGGCTTAGGGTTTGGGGTTTAGGGTTTAGGGTCTAGGATCTAAGGGCTTAGGGTTGAAGGGTTTTGGGAGTTTAGGGTGTACGCTTTGGGGGTATGAAGGGTTTGGGGATTGTAGGCGGCTTCCGAAATTCGGGGTACTTTATTGGGTCCTTTTCATAAGGGATTCCTACGATTTGGGGTCTACTTTGGGGGTCCCCCTATTTTCGTAAACCCCCCAACTGGGGGAGCATGCAATTACCCCATGCTGGCGCGAGCCACATTTTCTGGAAAAGGGCACCCCGTAACCCTAATCCCAGAACTCCATACCGTCAATACCCCCAAAACGCCAAAGCCCTAAAATCCCACAACCCTAAAACCCTGTAAGCCCTCAAGCTCCAGAACCCCAAAACCCTACAAACCCCCAAAACCCTAAACCCCTAAACCCTAAACCCTAAGCCCTAAACCCTAAACCCTAAATCCCACACCCTAAACCCTAAACCCTAAACCTAACCGGAGAGCGCCATAAGGCCGCCCAAGGAACTCCACCTGGACACGAAGGCGATCGAGCTCGGCCTCCAGCCCAAGGCCCGAACTCCAGTAGACGCGAAACCCTAAACAATTGGGTTTAGGGTTTAGGGTTTAGATGGGTTTAGGGTTTAGGGTTTAGGGTTGAGGAACTCCAGTAATATAGGGGCTTCAATAATTAATTACGATTTGTTTTCAGCAATTTGTGCTCGATTGTCAAAGATGGAAAGAAGTACGATTTGTTGCCACCAGCCTGTGATCGATTTTTGAAAAGATAGAAAGGAGTACGATTTGTTGCCATCAGTTTGTGCTTGATTGTCCAAGATGTAGAAAAGGCTTGTTTTTGTTTTTTTGGGGGGGATTGTAGCATGGGCACCATAAGGGAATACAATTAGCAATTATTCCGACCCCTACATTAGACCCGATGCCCTAAACCCTAGGGTTGAAAACATGCCACTCTTGCTGTGTTGAGCTTCTTATGATCGTCTTGCTGTAGTCATTACTGTGATTGCTTGGTGTTGTTTCGACAATGACCAAGGGTATGTGTGTTGCTTGACAAGGACGACATTCGGGTTCGTGAGGCCTTCAAAAGCTGTATTTTGTAGCACTTTTTGCAACCGTGAGAGCGCTAGAAACCATCGCAGACACGACAGAATCAAGGGTCTTTTGGTCGCATCAGTGAAAGTAGTTCAGAACTACTTCTTCTACCTTGAAGAGCTGTCGCGAGTACCCGTCCTGATTTTGCAAGAGCTGAAAACATTCTTGTGCGACGTTTCCGCGATGGTAGTAACCCCGTCACATGCTATTGGGGGCCACCTGGTAAACAGCTTCCTTTTTCTCCATGTAGTTTGTTTACCTATTTCGCTCTTATTTGCACAGTCCGTTTTTGGTCCAAACGCATGACAACATCATTGTCTGTGTGGTTTCGTTTAGGGTTTAGGGGTTTAGGGGCTTAGGGGTTTAGGGTTTAAGGATTTATGGGTTAAAGGAGTACTTTCTCAACCCTGAACCAAAAAAACTGGGGGAGTTGGTGTTCAAGCTCCAGGGTTTGGGTCTTCGAGGGCCACGGGCAGAGACGTCCTACACATTTGGAAAACCCTAAAACCCAAAACTAAGCCCTCAACCTCAAAACCCCTAACCCTAAACCCCTAAACCCTAAACCCCAAACCCTAGACCCTGAACCCCTGAACCCCGAAACAAAAAGCCCAGCCTTAGCTGCATCCTGCAAGGAGGCTTCTTGCTCGCGGCCTTTGGCGACCTCGGCTTACGGCGGGTTTAGGGGCTAGGGTTTAGGGTTTGGGGTTTGGGGTGTGGGGTTTGGGATTTGGGGTTTAGGGTTTGGGGTTTAGGGTTTGGGGCTTGGGGTGGGGTTTAGAGTTTAGGGCTTCGGGAGTTGACGCGAGCATTTTGCTAGCAGGTCTTCTTATGGCTGCGAACTTTCGCAGCCGCAGAGTGTTTGAGGCTGTCACTTCCGTGGGTTTAGGGTTTAGGGTTGAGGGTTTAGGGTTTAGTGTCCTGGCTCTCAATTCCCGAACTCCTGGCGCGGACCCAACAAGCTCACTACTCCAAACTCCGAAGTCCCGACCTTGACGCTTAGGGCTTAGGGTTCAGGGTTTAGGCGTGTTTAGGGTTTAGCGTAGGGCCGGCTTCGGGAAAGCCGAAGGTACCTAAACCGACACCCGAAACCCTACAAAGCCTATAAACCTTTGACCTTAAACCCGCAACTATGAACCCTAAATCCTAAACCCTAAACAATAAACCCTAAACCCTTGAGGTTTAGGGTTGAATGAGGGAAGGCCCGAAGGGCTTGCGCATGGCATAGGGTTCGAGGCTTTAGGGCCCTGCCCTTCCCCACCTGCTCCTCCAGCTCTGAGCGAAGGCCTTGCAGCTTTCCTTCCGCCTGGCAGGGTTTTTAGGGTTTAGGGCGTAGGGTTTAGGATTTAGGGTTTAGGTTTAGGGTTGAGGATGTCGGGTTTAGGGTTTGGGGTTTGGGGTTTAGGGTTTGGGGCTTGGGGTTCTGGGTTTAGGGTTCCGGGCTTTGGGATGTTCAAGCCTTGCAGTCAGTCTTACGTAGGCTTAACAGGGCCTTAAAGTGGTTTGTAAGCCGTTTATAACTCCCTCAACACAAGTTAATAGATAAGGGGGCTGCTACTTAATCTGCCCTGTGTCAAACACCGAACCTTAAACTCCAATCTGCGGAAGCCACGCGAAACCTGGAGCTCAACAGCGCTGCCTCCTCCTCAATGCGCTTGAGGTCGGCCTGCAGTGCAACACTCGGGGGCGGGGGGGGGGGGGGGGGGAGGGTTTAGGGTTTGGGGTTTAGGGTTTAGGGTTTAGGGTAGCAGAATATGGGGGGGGGGGGGGATGGGGGTTGAGGTGCGCTGCTCAAGCCTACAAACGCAACACGCTTCACTGGGAGCTGGCTGCCGGCATGCAGAAAGTCACTGTACAGGGTTTAGGCATGTTTCGGGTGTAGGGCCTAGGGATGTTTAGGGTTTAGGGATGTTTAGGCTTTTGGGCTTTACGGCTCAACCTCAACCCTAAACCACCCGAAACTTTCAACCCTGAAGCCCTAACCCACAAACCCGAGCCCCAAACCGGTTCACGTAAACCTTAAGACCTAGACCACTAGCCCTCAACCGTAAACTCTCATAAGCCCCCAAGCCCCATAAAGCTCCGTACACGCTCGAGCCCCAGCTGTCCCCTCGCTGAGCTGGGCTCCCCTACTACCCCCCTCTACACTACCCCTCCTAGGGCCCCCCATGTTAAGGTTATTTAGGGATTCTGAAGCCCAGGTAGGGTTATTCTACTAGTAGAAGGGGTAGTATAGAGGGGGGTAGTAGGGGAACCTATGATGATAGAAGGCGGATTACGAGACTTCACCCGGCCTCGATTGTTCCTCTCAGTCGCTTGTATCAAAATAATTTCTAAGTATAGCATCACACCTTTTAAGAGACATGTTCGTTTTTAATTTAACATTTCTGGGGTTAATTCGAGTAGTATTTGTAGTTATTTAACTACAAATACTTTTTAATCTCGATTACTTTATTCATTTTTCATTTTTGGTAGAATTACCTTGTTCCTTTTTTTGTTTCCACCTTTTTGTTTTCGCTGTTTCACGGTTTCTAGGGTTTATAAGTATCTTATTCATTATGACCCCAGGTTGAGGTCATTTCACCCACATAACTTTATCGTCGTGGTTTTCAGGATTTGTAAACTTCAGGGATTTCTGTAGAGGCTGACGTTCTAATGATATATCAGAATTTCTATTAAACTGAATCTTGCCGCGGGGCTTTTGTTATTGAAGTTTATGAACGATTAATTAATATAACCATTTACATTCTAATGACATTGACTAGGATTATTCATTATTTCAGAGTTTATCTGTTCTGATCATTCTTTACTACAAACATACCTGTTTGCGTTCTTATGAGTTTGTAGTAATATGATTACCTATTGGACTTCTTGAATGCTCAAACACTAGAGCAATTCGTTGCTTGTTCACTTTGTAGCTCCGAGATGGCAACGCCCTCTTCATTTGAAGCACGAACGCCACGCTTCAAGCCTCGTCAGAATGCAAGTTCATCCCGGGCGTCTTGCGAAGATGCATCGTTAGTACATTGAACCTCTACGCCGCTACGCCCTTCTCAACGTAATATATTCGCGCACATAGCATATATAAAATTGGCCATAAGCCCATTCCTTCGAGAAACCAGACGCGGCGTCGTGCTTTTTGTCTGTGCGATTTTGACGCACAAGCAGAGGGCTGGATTTGATTAGTCTGTCTTCACCCTTCCTTTCCTCAAACAACGCCGTCAGGTAGTTCAGGTTTTCTTCGCCCATGCTGTCCAAGGCCTCTTTGATTCAGCCATCATAAATCGTCATCTTCTTCTTGCGTTCCTCAAGTGTTGAACGAAGGTTGTCAATCATGGGCTTCATGGCTTCTCAAGTAGTTCAGGCAGTCCTTCGCTGTCGTTGTCTTGATGATTTTCGTAGCGGTCTTTTTTGACAGGTCTAACCGTGGCTGTCACAAGCAAGAGCGGGAAGAATAACACCAACAGATTTAAGCGTAAAACGCTACAATCACAAACTGAAGTTCCGCACGCAAATGCTTTTCGCACAAGTTGAAGTTCAAGAACTGCATACTAGTGATTTCGGTTTTTCTTTTGTGCTCTGCTCTGACAACTCGTGAGAAGCACAAATGCTTCGGTAGTATAAAGAACCCACAAGTCCTTAAATCTACTTCGCGACGCGGATGATGAGCACGTCGTTCTCTTTAACCTTGCAGTTGACAAACCTTGAAGTGTTAATCTCTGCCTTCCCGCGGTAATCGATGACCTCCCACTCGGTTCAAGAAAGGTGACATTCTTGCTTGTCGCAACCTTTGCCTTTGGGATTGGCTCGTCCATTGCCTCGTTGATTCTGTTGCAAGCGCTTGTGCGAAGGTCTTGCTCGTTCCACGCGGTCTTGACTTTGAGGGTTGTCTCTATCCAAAGTGGAGACGGTGGGGGTAGTGAGCTTAGCTGCTTGTCATCTTTGGGCAACTTTTCCTTGAGCAACTCGCGCTTAGCTGCTGGAATCGTCAAGTCAAGCAGAAATGGACAACGGATAGCAAAGGTGAGCAGCAGGAAGCAGCGGCTGAGAAACAGCAGGGGAGCTTTTGGAGTCAGTTGGACCAGGCAGATCAACATCGCTGCGCATCTCAGCAATCTGGCCCAACGGTGTCGGCGAGAAAAAAATCAGGCCCGAACTGGTCAACAACCTCGAACAATCTCTGAGAACCCAAGCCCTTTTGATGGCGGCGTGGAAGTTTCCGCGGCGAGCATGGTCGGCAGGCCAAGAGACATGGCTCCTTCAGAGCATGGCACGTCGTCTCATCAAGCACATCGTGCACAGCCGGAAGAAGAGTTCTCAGATGCATCTCAGCCTTGCCTTAACCTGAGAAGGGACTTCATCTCCGCGTCGTCCTTGGCAAATTTCTCCACGATGAATTTCTTGTCATGCTCTTCAGGACTGAAGGTCGCGGAGGACGTAGCAACTGTTGAGGAAGTATGTTGTGGCTTCTTCGGTGCCATCGCTATCGCTGGAGAAGATGGACTTACACGAAGAATCTTGAACACTGAAAAGCCTACATCATCTACACGCAATGCTCTCAATGAGTTTCCAATGCTTTCAGAATGCTCTGTGCAACCTTCTTCAGAAGGCCTTCAGTAAAACAAGCAACCTCAAAAATCCCTGAGTGTTTCAAATCCCTGAAAATCACGATGATGAAAAAGAACTAGGTGGGTTATGAAGATTTTTACAAAATTGACATACAAGGACCCCAAAAATCATTGAAGTCTGGGGTCATTTTATGAATAATGAGTTAGATACCTACAAACCCTCGAAACCGTGAAAATATAAAGAAATCAGTCTACAAAAAATAAAACAATTTCTAAGAACATCATGAATAAGATGAGAACTAAAAATAACTATAGGTAAATACGACTTGAAGATGAATAACCTTTCAAATGCTAAATGAATAGAATGAATGTGGTCGTTAAAATGGTGGGATTGTGTATTTGTGCATATAATTGTGACAAGACGAATGAGATTAACAATCGGGGAGCATAGAACGACCCTAAACCCTAAACCCTAAACCCTAAACCCTAAACCCTAAACAAGAAGGCCCATTGTCGGGGCCTGTAAGCTGGCTTCGCGGTCCTTCGCAGACTCCAGTGCCTGACGGCAGCTGCTGGTGGGAAGAGCTCAGGGTTTGATCTTGAAAGGGTTTGGGATTTAAGGTTTGAAACTCAGGGTTTAGGGTGGAGGGCTTGAAGTTAAGGGTATAGGGCTTAAAGTTTAGGGTTCCGTTGGCTTTAAGGTTTAGGCTTTAGAGGTTTTCAGGGCTAACAGGTAACCTCCAAAAACAAAGGGCAGTTTTTGGGATTCTTCGAGACACAGTAGGCCTTTCGTGTCCAGCGGGACCCTCCTGAACCCTGAAACCTTAAACCCTAAACCTATTGAGTTCTCAGCTACCCGAAACTCTAAACTCGAAACCCTAAGCCCTTTAAACCCCAAACAAATTCCTGCCACCCTGAACCCTCAACCTGAAACCATAAACCCTAAACCCTAAACCCTAAACCCCTAAACCCAGCCTCGGCAGCGCTCTTCTCCTCCGCCCTGGCCTCCTTCCATTGGGCTCACAGAAGCATTTGAGTGAGTTGTGGGGGTTTGGGGTTTAGGGTTTGGGGTTTAGGGTTTGGGGTTTGGGGTTTAGGGTTTGGGGTTTAGGGTTTAGGGTCAAGAAACACTACATTCCTCCGCAGAAGCCCACGATCCTACAGCCCACTAATCATGCCCCTACTACCCCCCTGTAAACCACACCCCCCCCCCCTCCCCCCCCTCCCCCCCCACCGAGCCTAGGTTCCCCGCAGCCTTGTAAAAAAAGTTATTCAAGGGGGGAACCGGGGGGGGGGGGGGGCGGGGGGCTAGGTAGTATGGGGAACCCATGAACGAAGCGTCAGGTCCTAGAGGGCCGAAACCGAATCCCCAAGCTAAAAAACCGAACTACAACCCTGAAGTCTTAAACACTGCCACTCCCCCAGTCGAGTCTTTGTTGAAGCCATCAAACCGAACCTTACACCCGCTTTCTCTGAGCCCCCGAAACCCTACACCCTTGCAGAATTTTCTAAGCAAAAGCCCTCAAATTGGAGATGTCAGGTCGCAAGGGCTTTAAACAAAAACATAAACCCGAAACCATTTTCTCGCAACCTTCTGTCTCGAAGTGAAGTAGGGTTTATATTCCTTGTATTGCGGACTCGAGGTCGTGAATCATATGAAGGCGAAAAACCCCCAAAGGACTCCCTGTATACATACACTCACCAAAACTAAAAAGGAACCTTATATACATTCAACCACATTAGAAAAGGAACCTCATGTTCCTCATATACACTCACCAACATCAGTAATAAACAAACAGAAAAAAACTGAACCCTAAACCCGAATATCAGTGGTATATACCCTGTTGCAAGTAACAGCCTCAAGCTTCGTGCCCAGCGCTGTCAGCTTCTCCGTAGCTGCGGTTGCTTCCTCCTCCTTGCTTGTAGCACCGGCTAGCCGGATGGGCTATACTAGCCCTAAATCCTAAACCCTAAACCCTAAACCCCACAATCAACCCGCTAAACGGACTTTTTAAAGGGCCGTCCCGGTGAGCCCCATAAACCAAAAATGTCTAAGCCCTACAAACCTCAGAAAAACCCTGTATTCCCAGAAAACCACAATTTTAAAAAATGCGCTGCGGACTCTCTATAAGCCTATGCAGCCCTACATGACCTCTGCAAGCGCTAGAAACCCGAAACCCTAGACCCCTAACCCCAAACCCTAAACCCCAAACCCTAAACCCCAAACCCTAAACCCGAAACCCTATAAACCCCAAAACGCGAAACCCTAGAGACGATCGGCAAATAGCACCGTTGAATACAGGATGGGGCTTGGGCAGCGGGCTGCCGAAGCTGAACTTGCAGATTCTTGAGGTTTAGGGTTTAGGGTTTAGGGTTTAGGGTTTAGGGTTTAGGGTTTCGGGTAGGGTTCAGGGTCTTCAGGATTGAAGGTCCAGACTTTAATCACGCAGGGATTCAGGTTTTTTTTTGGTGTTAGGGTGCAGGGTTTGGCGAATTCGCCGCGCTTGGACGAGGTACGCAGCCTTTGTGTCATGGAGCCACGAAGGGTACCAGGGTCAAAGACAGGTTGTCTGCCTGTGACTCGGAAACAGCAAACATGTTAGGTTTTTAGGGTTTCGGGCTTGCTAAACCCTAAACCCTAAACCCTAAACCCTAAACCCCAAAGGGGCACATAGCAGCTTTAGGGCCCCAAGCAAAGGGACAGGGATGGAGTGCGACATCCATTGCCAGCTGTGGTCCACGGTGATGCGAATCGTCGACAAACCCCGTCGGAGGTCGGAGGGTGTTTCTTTCACCCTACACCCTAACCCTAAAACCTAAACCCTAAACTCTACACCCTAAACCCTAAACCCTAAACCCTAAACCCTTTCATACTCAGGGCTGGACGTGCTCCATCTTCAACTTCGAGACCTGAAGGAAAAGAGCAGTTCTCCAACTAGGTTCTTTTTAGGATATAGTACGGCACCACAAAATTAGAGGACGAAGGGACCCGAATTTAGAGAACCGCCCAGGTTTAGGGTTTAGGGTTTAGGGTTTAGGGTTTTAGGGTTTAGGGTTTAGGGTTTAGGGTTTAGGGTTTAGGGTTAGGGTTTAGGGTTTTTATGAGTTGTTGGGCTCAGATTCTGGGATGCACCGAGACCAAAAGATGTAAACGAACTGCTATCATCCTTTATCTAAGCTTTACGGGCATTTCCAAAGTCAGGGGTACAGTACCCGGTCTAAACCCCAAATAGAATAGAAATCCCTTAAATTAAAAGGATCCCAAAAAGGGTACCCCTACCTCTTGTGATGGCCTTACGGGTAGTGGGTAGACTGGCGTGGTTGTTGAGTAGGGGAGGTGCCATAATCTCAGGTCCGAGGGTTTAGGGGGTTGGAATACCTTGATGGTTTCGGCCTGCTTCGGGTTTGGGGTTTAGGGTTTCGGGTGTATAGGGCCTAAACCACAAATTTTAACCCGAGCCCATGAATTTCCTTGTAGATGAAGAAGCAAATCGGAACAACTCGAGTGCAACGAAAGCCCAAGCATGCATAATCCTGCTCCATGGCTTACTTGGAGGTTCATGGGTACGTATAAAATAGGACTAATTACAAGTTGGGCAACTGTAGCTATAGAGATAAACTTACTTGCGGTACGACTAACCTACTTCTTTTTAAGTACCCCTGAACCTCTAAGTGCAAGTGTGGGCCCCCAACTTATAAGTAGGGTGATAAGGGTCCTAAACTCTTGGTTATAGGTCTATTTAGGTTTTACCTCCCTTAACTGGGTTTTCGTAGAGTAAGGGGGCCCCTACTAGTAGAGGGTTTAGGGTTTAGCGCTTAGGGTTTAGGGATCAGGGTTTAGGGCCTCATAGGGTTTTCCAAACCTACCGCGAAAGGGACTCCTTCTCCGGCAGAAGTATGGCCTAAAGTCGCAGGCAAGATTTGATTTGGGGGGTGGCCGTCTATAGGGGACCATCCTAAAATACCCCACAATCCACCTCTAAAAACCCCAAGCAGCCAAAACCGCCTAAACCATAGAACAGTAGAGGCCGTAAACCCGAGACCCGAAAATCGCCCCAACAAAAATCCAAACCCCCTGAACCATAGAACCCTAGCGAGCCCTGGAACCCTCAACCCTGAAAATCCCAAACCATAAACCCACGCCATAGACCCCAAACCTCAAACCCCAAACCCTGAACCCTAAACCCCAACCCTAAACCGCAAACCCTAATTAAACCCCGAACCCCAAACCCCGACCCCCAAACCCCAAACCCCAAACCCCAAACCCCAAACCCTAAACCCTTGCCCTAAACCCTAAACCCTAAACCCTACACCCTACACCCTACACCCTACACCCTACACCCTACACCCTACACCCTACACCCTAAACCCTAAACCCTAAACCCGAAACCCTAAACCCTAAACCTCTGTGGCGGCCTGTTCCGCAACCGCCTCCTCTGCGCTGCGAGCCGCATCGAGGTCGCTTTGAAGCTTGGCCACCTGTGGCGTCCCTAAAAGGGGTTTGGGGTTAAGGGTTTAGGGTTTAGGGTTTAGGGTTTAGGCCAGCGATTGATTGTGGTGGAAGGGGTTTAGGGGTTTTTTAGGGGTTTAGGGGTTTATGGCTAGGGTTTGGGGTTTAGGGTTAAAGCCCTTTGAATGGGGTTCAGGGTTTAGAGCTTGGGGTTTAGGGTTCACGGGCCCTTGTAGCAAAATAGGGTGTGTCGGGTCAGTGTGGCTAAATATTTGGCGTTCGTACTTGCATGTTTAGGATTTAGAACTCCACCCACAACTTTTTGAGGCGGCAGGGCTTATACGGATTCGGGCTTAAGGCTTTGAATATCACTAGGGTTCATGCCCTACGTGGAGTTTAGGGTTTAGGGTGTAGGGTGTAGGGTTTTGGTAAAACCCTAAACCCTAAACCCTAACCCCGTCTACAGCAACCACGGACAATCGTGGACCCTTTAGGGTTGGGGACAACATGAAACTTGAGAGCTTACACATTGGGAGCACGTAGCCCGCGCTAGAGATCCAACAGTTGTTGCAATATGCATATATATATATATATGCATATCCATATACATATATAGATATTTATATAAACATATTCTTTAGTTTGTCTTGTTCTGTTTTTGGTGGGAGGGTCCGTTCAAATTGAGTTCTGCAAAATTCGAAGGCACAAGGGAATAAACGGGCACCCGAAATCTTGGACAACGCCTCCCCAGCCGACACCCTCAGCCCAGCTAAATCCCAAGGGTTTAGGGTTTAGGGTTTAGGGTTTAGGGTTTAGGGTTTAGGAAATCCCGAACCTAAAGCGACAAGTGGGGACGCCCTTGCTATACGTATGTTGGGTTTCAGGCAAATATACACTAACTACCGTTGAGTTATAAGCCACGTCCATGGCCCTCAGAATACAACTTCGGGGGCTAAACCCTAAACCCTAAACCCTAAACCCTAAACCCTAAACCCTAAACCCTAAACCCTAAACCCTAAACCCTAAACCCTAAACCCTAAACCCTAAACCCTAAACCCTAAACCCTGAACCATCCGGCTCCTTCTACACTTGCAGGGCCTCCGCTTTCGTGGAGGAGTCCTCCTGCTGCTGTGATGAGAGCTTCTTCTGCAACTCTTGCCTTCGATTCGATGGAGGTCTCAGACCTTATAAGCCCTAAACCTCTAAAGAAATGGGGGTTAGGGTTTAGGGTTTAGGGTTTAGGGTTTAGGGTTTAGGGTTTAGGGTTTAGGGTTTTGGGTTTTAGGGTTAGGGTTTAGGGTTTAGGGTTTAGGGTTTAGGGTTTAGGGTTTAGGGTTTAGGGTTTAGGGTTTAGGGTTTAGGGTTTAGGGTTTAGGGTTTAGGGTTTAGGGTTTAGGGTTTAGGGTTTAGGGCTTGCGGCACAACGTGACACTTGCAATGTGCTGTCCTGGTCTTACACTGTTTTCGGGGGCCGCCTCTGGCATGATCAGCATTTCCAGGCCGGGAGTTGAAAAATCACACAGTGCCTTCTGGAAGTCTTGGACCCTTGATACCAGACAAGTCACGTAGTATAACTGCCAGACCGGAAACCTCGACTCTAAACGAGGATCTTGCTACACAAGGGCCCTCCCACCCCGCCCCTCTTCATACCCCAAAATACCCTCAGGCCTGTATAAAGGCGCACTCAGAACTACCCTCAACCCTAAACCCTCAAACCTATAACATACCTCGTAAGCTTGGCTTTCCTGGTCAGTGCGAAAAGCTAAGCCCTAAGCCCTAAACGCGACTCTTGTCTAGTCTAGGGCTTAAGGGTAACATGGAAGCCCAGCAGCCATACGGGGCGCTTTAAGGTGCTGGGTGGTGGAATACAGGAAGCAAACCCCAGCAAATGGCAAAACCCTACACCCTAAACCCCAAAAAGGGTGGCAAAAGGGTTTAGGGTTTAGGGTTACATCTAGCACGCGTCTTCATCGCATTTGCATCTCAACGGAACGCCTCGACTCCGACCCTTTCAAAGCACAGTCGACGAGGCATCTACTGCACTACCTGACGGAGAACAAACCCCTTGCAAGGCTGTAGCCTTGTAACACACAAACAGTCATACAACGAGCTGAATCGAGGACTTAGGGTTGCGGGGGGGGGGGGGGTCCGGGGTTCCCATCGTGCGGACTATGTTCTTTGGGGACAACAAAGGGAAGAGGGGTTCCCGATTTTGGGATATAGCCATGTAGGAGGGTTTGAGGCCGGCAGGCCCTGTCCATTCCTTTTTTCTCAGATTGCCTGCAGATGTACTGCTTCAATCCCAGGGGCATCCTTGGTAGCCCAGTAGCCATCTTCTGCCAGTAATAAGGGTACTCTTTTATACTCTTTTTTTGGGTTGCTTACCTTATAAGGGAACCTTGAACCAACAAAAGGGAGAAGGGTTAAACCCTAACCCTAAACCCTAAACCCTAAACCCTAAACCCTAAACCCTAAACCCTAAACCCTAAACCCTAAACCCTAAACCCTAAACCCTAAACCCGACAAAAAAGGTAAAAGGGTACCACTGGTCTGCCAAGGATCCTAGCCAGCCCAACTGCGCCTTCGCCGCGCAAGCAGCTCGTCGAGCGCGGAGCGCAGGTGCCTAGGGCACGACATGAGTTATATGGGCCGTTACTTTGGTCGCTATTACCCCCTTAAAGGGTTCTGAGGTAGAACAGGGGTCCCCAGCAAACCCTAAACCCTAAGCCCTAAAAGGGGGTTTAGAATTAAGGGTTTACGGTTTATGGTTCAAGACCTTAATAGGAATTATAGTAGTACAGGGTATATGACCACAATTTTATGGTTCATTTGGTCACCAAGGTGCTGCGAGAAGACGTGGTTGCCGTTCAAGATGGCCCCACACAACTCCCGAAGCCGCGCCTGTACTGAACTTGGAACCCAGCAAAATGTACAAGTTTCAGCTGTTTCTTAGGAAATATCGTACCCAAAAATGAAAAAAAAAACACTTCCAAGTATCCCTATAAGGCGCTGCAAAGAAACTCACCATGATTTCGCCCTGCCTATGCTGATCCAGAGTGGGCCCGACCAGGTTCAGCATCTCGATTACACACTTGACTGCGGGCTCCTGGGGCAGGGTGTTGCCTGGCCGGGTGCCGATCAAGTCGCGGATTACCTGCCCGATAACATTCGGAGACAGCAGCTGCTGCAAGAACAGGTGGGCGATGAAACTCAGCATGTGCTTCATGCTCTCGGCCTCCTCGCTGGGCGAAGGCAAAAGCTTGAGCTCCTGCGTGCAGACCATGAGCAGCACACCGGTGAATGTGGTGACTCTCTCCTTAGCTTTGGAGTAGACCCTGTTAGGCATAAGTAGCTATAAATAGGAACCCAGAACCAAAAAAAAAAGTATTAGAGGATAGTACTCCAAAACCCAGTCTCATCGTCGTTCTCACATGGAAACACCGGGTAACACGCCTTCGCAGCAGCAGCCATGCGCGCACAGGTTTCAACGTGAGCAGGCTCTGCCAGGGCCTTTTCGAACAAGACTTTGACGACGCACCCTAGCTCTTCAGCATTTTGCAGCTCGAGGTGGTGGGCCAGCATGTTCAGGATGTCTCCGAAGTCGGTGCGCTCGAAGGAGCAGATCTCATCCGCCAAGGTCTGGGCACAGCGCCTCACCTCCATTTTGTATTTGGTGACAGCATGAAGGGTTTCGTCCGGCTGCAAGCTCAACTCTTCGACTGTCAGTGCCATCTCTTCCTCACCCATGGCACGGCCATCCTGGCGAACAAGCTTCTTGATGCCGACATCGAGCTCGCTCTCTGCTGCTTCCTTTACCTCCCTGAGGGTGTCCTTAGGTTGAACCCGAAGCTCGGCCTTCTGGCCGCTGAGCAATGCCACCTGCAGCACCGCGCCACCAGGGACTTCAGCTTCTGCAGCCATCACTGATTGCATTGCAGAGGGGCGGGGGGGTGGGGGGGGGGGGGGGGCCTGTGTTTGGCTTCAAGGAGTTCAAGGTCAGTCTGCTAGGGAGTCATAAGATTAGGCACTATAGGCACCCGCAAGGAGAGAAAGCCTTGAACACGGTGCTGCGGGGTTCAGGGCTGAGGGGCGTTGGGCCTCGAGCTCACGTCGACCTTAAGACCTTAAACCAGGTGTCACGTTTCGGTGCAAGGTTGGTGGCTCGACTGTTAAAGCCTAAACACGAAACCCTAAAGGGGCTTTAAGCAATAGCTTTAGGGTTTAGGGGTCAAGGTTCCCAGGCCCGAAACCCGGACCCTAGATTAAGTGCCCTAGACCCTGAACCCTCAACCCTAAGCCCACATCTTGCGTACCCCGTCTAAACCCCTTCTACCCCAGCTTCTATCCCCATTATAACCTCCTTCTACCCCCATTGTAACCTCCTTGTACCCCCCCCCAAACCCGAAACCCTAAACCCTAAACCCCAAACCCTAAACCCTAAACCCTGGACCCCCCTTAACCCTTAACCCCCCCCCCCCCCCATATGCCACAGTAGGTTTTTCAGCCGTGGCGCAGTTCGGCCTTCAGGCGCTCCACTTCTGCGTCACTCGTTGGGGCCTATCAGGAGCTACGTAGCTTGGGGTTTAGGGTTTAGGGTTTGGGGTTTAGGGTTTAGGGATTTAAGGTTTAGGGATTTAGGTTTAGGGTTTTAGGGTTGAGGGTTGAGGGTTAAGTCAATAACAAACCCTACATCCGTTACAGCCTGAAACAGCTCCATAAGCGCTAATTTCAAAGAACCCTAAACCCTAAACCCTATTTCCTAAACCCTAAGCCCTAAACCCTAAACCCAAGAGAACCTGTGCCTCGAACTGGGCCCCAGAGAAAACTAGGAACTGCAAGGGGTTTTCCATTGGTCCATCGGGCCTTCTACGGGAACCTACCGAACCCTAAACCCCCAAAACCCATAACTTGCGCCCGAAGCGAAGCCCTCAACCCACTCAACCCCCTGAAGCCCCTAAAGCCCCTCAAGCCCCTCAACCCCCTAAACCCCCTAAACCCTAAACCATAAACCCAAAACCTTAACCCAAAACCTTAAACAAAAAGGGGCGGGACCTACCTTCGAAAAGCCTCAGCCCCGGCGCCTTGGCTGCCGCCGCTACCTTGGCCACCGGCGCCGGTGCCGGTGCGGGCGCAGCTGGCACCTCTGAGAGCTTGCCTATAAGTTTAGGGTTTTGGGGTTTGGGGTTTAGGGTTTAGGGCTAGGGTTTAGGGTTTAGGGTTTAGGGTTTAGGGCTAGGGTTTAGGGTTTGGGGTTTAGGGCTTAGGGTGAGGGCTACAGGGTTGGGGTTTAGGGATTAGGGTTTAGGGTCTAGGGATTAGGGCTTAGCGTTGAGGGTTAGGGGTTAGGGTGAACCTGTATCGAGAATCATTGTCTCTCCGGCTCATACGCCGTAAGCCCTAACCCCTAAACCCTAAACCCTAAACCCTAAACCCTTAACCTTTAACTTCCTTAACCCTTAACCCTAGCCCTAAACCCTTCGGACTCTGACGCACAAGCCTCTGCGGGCGGTGGCGCAGCCGCAGCCGCTGCCTCTAAGGCCTGCACAAGGAGCCCCCGAATTCAGGGTCATGTGCAGCTGTATGCCTCTACAAGGGGTTTAGATTTCATATTTAGGGTTTAGGGCTAGGGTTTAGGGTTTAGGGTTTAGGGATTAGGGTTTAGGGTTTAGGGTTTAGGGTTTAGGGTTTAGGGTTTAGGGTTTAGGGTTTCGGGTTTAGGGAGAAGGGTTTAGGGCATCATGGCCTGCAAAAAAAGGTTTGAGGTTCTTAAACGAGCTATGAGCATCACGCGAGGTCAGGGACCCCATTGCCCCTTAAAGAAGGCCCTGCAAGCAGTCTAAACCCCAAAACCTTACCCCCTGAACCCCGACACCCTAAAGGTCCTACAGGCCCTAAAGGCCCTGAAAAGCCCTAAAGGCCCTAAACCTCAAACTCTAAACCCCAAACCCTAAACCCCAAGCCCAGAACCCCAAACCCTAAACCCCCAAACCTACACCTGTCTCGGAGTTGCCCGGGGAGCTAAAAATCTAGGGTTCCAAGCAGTATGGGCCCTTAATTTGGGAATATATATAGCCCTCATATACCATAAATATAATAAGGGCCAATACTTCGGATCCCCTTTAAACAAGGGGAAAGGGACCATACGAAGGGCTCATGGCTCCAAGCTGAGAAACAAAACGTGGGGCCTTCGAGAGTCGCTTGACCTCGAGCGGCTTCAATCCCAGCCTTGGGAGCTTTGGGTTTTGGGGTTTACAGTTTAGGGTTTCGGAAGGGTGTAGAAGGAAGGTTGAAGGGAGGTTTAAGAAGAGTTTGACGAGAGCTGAGGTTGAATTTGGCGGTGGCTGGGAGGGTTTAAATGGTCTCGGGTTCAGAGTTCAATCCTGCGGGAATTCAGGGTTTAGGGTCGTAGGGTTTAGAGTTTAGGGTTCAGGGTTTAGGGCGTACGGCTTGCAAGAAGGTTTGGGTTTATCGAATTTGGGGGGACGGGGGTCGTAGGGTTGAAAAGAAAACGATATTGGGCTTCGGGCACGTATGCGCTCATACATATCAAGGGGACGTCGGTCGCTGTCCGAGCCTGAGCGCTCTGGGTCTAATATTGCATGTAGCTCAGGGCACCAAAAAAAGGGCGCTCTAAACCCTAAACCCTATACCCTTATTAAACCCTAAACCCAAAACCCTAAACCCTAAACACCTTACGGGAAATCTGCAGCTGCAGCGACTCCCCAGCTAGATCATCCACCCGCTTCGCCAGGTCCGGAATCGTCTGCAGGCTCTGCCTCTGCTCGGGTTTAAGGTTTTCCGATGCAGCTCGGGTTTAGGGCTTAGGGTTTAGAACCCTAAACCCTAAGCCCTAAACCCGAAGCCCTAAACCCTCAACCCTCAACTAAGGCCTAGGGTTTAGGGTGTGCTTTGGATCTTACATGATTCCTCGGAGATACCGCTTCCCGACTGTGTGTTGGGGTGGGTTTAGGATTTCGGGGGCGGAAGGGTGTGAGATGAGCACGATGAAGCAATGGCCGTGTTTTTAGAGTTTCGGGTGTAGGGTTTCGGGTTCAATCAACTTCTGTACTTGAGGCTGAGGTTTCTTCTTCCGGCCGACGCCGGTCAAACTTGTAGCTGGACCACAGTGGTCTAGGGTTTATGGTTTAGGGTCCTCTGACGTGCGATGCTAAAGCGGGCACCTCCCTGTACATATAACGGGTTGAGTGTGGGCGTAGCGGGCAAGAAACGGTCCCAAACTCTCTAAACCCTAAACCCTAAACGCTAAACCCTAAACGCTAAACCCTGAACCCTAAACCCTAAACCCTAAACCCTAAACTCTAAACCGAATACCCATTGAGGCCTCGAGGTTGAGGGTCACTTTTCAAAAAAAGGGTGGTCCTTTTGGAGTGGCCCTTATTTACAAGGCGGCCCCTCTTATTTAGGGTACCCCAAATTTCAAAAGGGACCTGAAATTTAGGGGACTCACCATTTCGGGGTTTCCGAAACTAGGGGTACCCTTTTGGGGGGGGGGTCTCGTCTTTAAGAGGATTCTAGTCGATTTGGGGCATAGAAGGGGTACCCCTATTTTGGGAAAACGACCCCAATAGGGTACCCCTAAACCCCAAACCCCAAACCCCAAACCCCAAACCCCAAACCCCAAACCCCAAACCCCAAACCCTAAACCCTAAACCCTAAAACCCTAAAACCCTAAAGGGTTTTGGGATGAGGGGCACAGCTGCATGCAGGCAGAGAGGCTGCTGGCACCAGGTGCTGGCAGCATCCGCGTGGTGGGAGAGCTTGACCTTGCCATCGGCATCGGCTTCTTCGGGTTTAGGGCTTCAGCTAGGGTTTAGGGTTTAGGGTTGAGGGTTTAGGGTTTAGGGTTTAGGGTTTAGGGTTTAGGGTTTGGGGGTTGAGGGTTGAGGGTTTAGGGTTTAGGGTTTAGGGTTTGGGGTTTGGGGTTTGGGGGCTTAGGGTTTGGGGCTTTAGGGCCGGTTTAGGGTTTAAGGTTAAGGGTTTAGGGTTTAGGGTTAAACCACCACAGCCGCAGCTCCCCAAAAGAAGTTTCGGGTTTATCTGCAATCTGCCCGGTGCTGCCTTAAGGGACTGCTGGCACCAGTATACGGCCTTTTATCCCCGGCATTCTTGACAGCAAGCAGCATGATCGCCACAGTTGCTCTCCTGGGCGACTTGCGCCATTCCATGCTTTCTGCTTCAATTGCAACACAAGTCTCGCCACAACAAATCCCAACAGCTTTGCAACCCTAACCCCACGCAGTATACCCCCCAAAAGCCCAAACCCTACAACCCGAAAAACTTGAACCCAGTACCTCCCAATAATCTTACAACGCTGCAAACCCATGCTCTAAACCCTGTACCGCCTAAACCTCTCAGCCCCAAACCCCAACACCCCCCAAGCCCACCCCCCCCCCCCCCCCCCCCCCCCAACCCTCCCTCCCAAAGAAGGCCCAGTGCTGCCAAGCAACTTCGCCGAAGATGCCGGACCTCAGCTGCTCTTCTCAACCCCTCTCTCACTAAACTCAACATTGTGATCACAGTACTTATAGTAGCGACTATGGTTCCTAAAGATTGTTGATTGTCATTGCGGCCCCCTCGCACAAACATAGCCCTACCTGTAACATCCCTTCCCAGAGCCGCCCAGGGGCAGGTCCAGAGACGCCACAGGGGCGGCAGCTGGCTGGGCGGAGGCGTGCTCCTGGCTGATCTTCGGTGGCAGGGCACCTAAACCCTAAACCCTACACCCGAAACCCTAAAGCCGTAAAGCCCTAAACCCTAAACCCTAATCCCTAGCCCTAAACCCGAAACCCTATAACCCTAAACTGGGGTATTTAGAATTTCGTAGCTTTAGGGGCCTTGAACCTCAAGAACCCGAAAGCCTGCGATTCTGATTGTGTGTGAGTGAGTGTGGGGCGGTCCTT